ATAAATAATTATATAATATAAATAATATAAAAATAAATATAAAATGATATATTTTTATGAATTATACAAATTATTGTGGAAGTTGCTAAAATAGATTTGCACAGAAAATTTCCAAAAATTTTTCTACTATATTCATTTTATATTTTATTATAACTTGCAAATTGTCATTAAGTCTTTCTGATAAGTGATAAAAGTGATAAAAGTTGAAAATATAGTGAGCGTATATGAATGAAATAAGAAATGATAGCATGATAATATCTACAATTATGCATGAAGTACTATCAAATAACATTAATGCTTACATTTTCTGTCACTAATATCAATGTTTTTCCCTATTAACTCTTCATTTTTACCAATTTCTTTTACACTTCGTGACAGATCGGTATTATAAACCATTTCTTCATTTCGTGGCATTTCTATATCGCGTGATAAATTGTTCATACGAAACGCATCTGTCACCGAATTTCGCGAAATGTCAGCAGTTGTACTACGTGATGTATTCGACGTTTGAAAATCCATCGTATCATTACGAATTACGTTAGCATTTTGAGGAAGATTTATATTTCTTGAAGCGATATTTTTATGAGATGGATCAACGTCACTTATCGATTTACGATTATTACTGGAAATGTTCATAATACGGGACTCCATGCTACGGCTGACAATTGATTGCTGTGATAGTTCAGCGGTACGAATGGATTCGATAGGATGGGAGATTATGCTTAGAGATGTTTCTGCAGTATGTGATGCATCAGTAATTCTACTTGTAACATCTGCGTTTCGAACAATTGGTAAAACAGTACTTGTTGTTTCGGATTTATTTTTCTTGCTTGACTTATGGAAATGATTCTTTAATTTTTTAATTGCTTGAATTGGTTTATTCACATGCCTATAAATTATATATTTCTTTGCTTTATAAAATTTTATTGAAATTTTTGCTTATTCCAGCAAAACATTCAATTTTATACTACCAAAATTGAGAATGTTTGCATAAACGACAAAATGATAATATTAAAAATATAATAAAATATTAAAAGATAAAAGTAATTAATTTATAATTAAGTAATTAATTAAAAGTAATTAAATTAATTTTTTAGTGCGACCTTTTTTTTTAAAGTTATATTTCGTAGTTTATTTTATTTGATTATATCAAAAGTTAAAATAATTATTTTTAGGAAGAATAAAACAAATATAAAATGAACTTGTCAAGTTTTTCTAACTTTGTTGCTCGAATATCTTTTCCTTTTTCAGACATCTCTATAAATATCAACTTTTCGATATCATTTAATAATTATTAATAATCATTAGGATTATTAATGCTTTAGTCATTTGCTACATTTTACTCATTTTTTTTAAATATTTTAATCAAACTTTCTAAGCTTATATATTTCTAATTTAATTTAAAAATAATCATTGATAATGCAAAACATTTTATTTAAGTAAGAATGAATTAGCAGTTACTTCATTGATAAAACAACTGCTTTCTAAATTAGCTATCAATACTTTAAACAGACACGTTATTAATATTATTTATACTTTTTTGTTAATTTTTTTCTTCTTAAATTTTAATTATGAATATGCAAAAATTGTTGAAAACATGAATTCATTAAGTAATATAAAGGTATTTTTTACTTTCTCGATGTAATTGGCGTCGTTTACGTGATCGGCGTCGTCGATGCGATTGGTGTCGTTTACGTGATCGGCATCGTCGATGTGATTGGTGTCGTTGACGTAGTCGGCATCATCGATGCGATTGGTATTGGCTACAACCGTCGTTGGCGCTAATATAAGCTTTATTAAGCAGTCACTGATATGCATTTATGCCATTTAGAAAATGATAAATGAATGACACTGCGTTATTAGCTCACTTGAAATGAACCGTTGAGAAATCTTTAGAAGTTACCGGCGGACACTTCCACATCACTCGTTGATTACAGCTGTTCATTTCTACAGCTTTGAAAGAGAGCAGAGACATTTGTGTATTACTAATCAGTTAAAAATGGACAATTTAGCAATTTTGAATGTAATAAATGACTCAATTATAAGAACCATTGATTAACATTTAAACAGAATTATTAAAAGAGGTAGTGGCATGTCTTCTCTTGATTATGTATTCAAAAATTTGGGTCATAAGTCAACCTTGTATTTAAGGACTAACTTGCAAAGAATTACAGTTAAATTTACTGACTGATAATTTCTCCTTTAATAGTCTGTTATTGATTTAGATTTCACAAATTTCCATAAATTTAATCAAAAAATTGATCAGCAGATAAAAATCTCTCATTGAAAACAATTTGCGCACTACACTACAATGAAACATAATTTTAGCAAATCATGCCCTCACCAATAAGTTGGATATGATTTGCTAAAATTTATAAATTTAGAAATATGACGGCAGTAACATGCACTTCTCTGGTCTCATGACGATTTGATGTCATTCTTCTTCACATTTATTTTTGCAAGTGTACCGTCTTCTGCGCATGATATTACAAGCGGAGTGAGTTAGTTTGGTAATTTTGGAAACATTTCAGGATGTTACGTACATAGTCACCGGTTATTGTTTACTATTGGAACTTACATTATAACACAAAATTTCAGGAAAAACTGAATATAACGTCAAGACATGTAAGATAATTCTTACATACAAGCATAGGTGAAACAAGGAATTTTGATGGAAGTAGTCAAATTTAAATTGCATCTTGATTTTTGCGAATTCATTATGTGCTGTAACTTTAGCATCGATTCGAAGAGATTTCAGAAAAAAATGAAATAAAATTGAACATCAATTAAATGCTTTTTTGCATCTCTTGCATTAAAGCATAATGGTATCGAAGATAGAAATCATATTATGGTTAAAGTTTAGTTTTATTCTATGAAAATTTGCAGATAATCTCGTTTCATCTCGGTTGACATTACTACATTAATTCTTCGCCAGAATGTCACTTGCGGATGAGCTGTTGGCGGATTTAGAGGATGAGGAATTAGTGGAAGAAACGGAACAAGATGGAGGAGAAGGCTTAGAAGAAGTGAATGAACAATTACCATCTATGAGTGCATATGATCGAGTAGGATCCGTAGCGAAGTTATTGGCGAATCAAAAGTATACCAATTTAATTTTTTAGAACTCTATATTTAGATATACAGCTGAAAGTAAATAGTGAAACATTAGAAACAAGTTTCTAAACAACGTTTTTAACTTTTTCAACTTTTGACTTGTTTTTGACATGTTTTATAAGAATAGAGTTGTAGTTATAAATTTTTATACTCTTTATTTATAGTTACAAGGATCTCATCGATAAGATGCAGGAGCAACTTAATTTGAAAGAAATTCCACCAGTTACAAAGCCACTGGAAGCGGATCCACAATACAAATTGATTGTGGAACTTTCTGGAGTAAGCAATAAATCACTTCTGTCTTTTGGTTAAATCCGAGTTACATGTGTATAATGATCCTATGCATCCATTTCCAATTGCTGCTTTCTTTATTTACAGTGTTTATGTTTATAAATTTTTGCAAACGAAAGGTGATTAAATTGCTTTTGTAGCTTGCAGCTGAAGTGGATCAGGAATTGAATGTCATTCATAAATTCGTGCGTGACAAATATGAAAAACGTTTTCCTGAGTTAGAATCACTGGTGCCAAATGCGTTAGAGTATTTGGCAACTGTTAAACTTCTGGGAAATGATATTTCGACTAAGGGACAAAATAAACAGATTTTGAGGTCTGTTATTTTTCTGGTGAAAATAGTTTTTTAGTTAACAACAAAGTATTTTGATCCAAATTTTTTCTTTTCTCAGTTTTATCGTATTTCTGGAGTTAAAAAATTTCCAAGTATTGATTTGACAAAGTATGAATTTCAGTGAGATTTTGGCGCCCGCCACGTGCATTGTAGTTAGCGTGACAGCATCAACTACACAAGGGAAAGCGTTGGAATCGGATGAATTGGTAGCGGTACAAGAAGCTTGCGATATGGCTGAGCAATTGCACACCGATCGACTTAATATGTATCAACTGGTTGAATCGAGGATGGCGCTTATTGCACCAAACCTGTGCGAAATCTTGGGAGCTGGTACAGCAGCAATGGTCGTCGCTAAAGCAGGAGGTAAATGATGTCTATATTAGGAATTATCTTTTATTTTGCAGTAAAATAACAAATAATGTGATTTATAACTTGATGAAAAAGGCTTAATTTGTGGTGCTGATTTTTACTGCTTCGTTGTGTATGTGAAAGAATTATTGGTAGAAATACAGGAATATTTCCAGTCACATAAAAAGTAGAGAAAATGTCAAAATGTGCAATAAAATTAACACTTCGCTTGATGTCTTTTTCTTTTGCATAAGAGCATTTTTTAGGTCTTGCTCCACTGGCTCGCCTTCCTGCTTGCAATGTACTGATTCTTGGTGCACAGAAAAAAACGCTGAGTGGTTTTAGTTCTACGGCTATATTACCACATGCCGGTTTTCTTTTCTTTCATCCTATTGTGCAAGGAGTTCCACCAGACTTAAGGTACCATCGTTTTTGACCATGAATTTTGTTTGTGTGATTTCTTCACTCATTAGAATACTTAGAAAACTATATCAAAAGTTGTCAAGTTAATTTATAATAATAGATGGTTTATACCCGTCTGTGATACATTTTTATATTTTTATGCATTTTTAGACAAAAAGCTGCTCGGTTATTGGCAGCGAAAACAACGCTCGCGGCTCGTGTTGATTTTATTCATGAATCATCAGATGGTTCGATCGGAAAAAACTTATTTGAACAAATAAAACAGAAAATAGAAAAAATGTTAGAGCCTCCACCAGTAAAGGCTGCGAAACCTCTGCCAAAGCCTTTGGATAAGGTTGATATTATTTGTAATTTTAATGAGAAAATCATATTCAGTTTTTGAAGTTTATTTAGTTTGCTTACTGCTTTAATCGCTCAACAGTAAAACAGTACTTCACACCTCATTGCTAGTGTTATAATACAATTATGGATATCAAACAACCAGGATAGCATCTGCTGTGAAACAAGGGAGGGAATGACTTCCATTTTTGGCATGTTTTGGGAAATACATGCTCTTTTGTTCTTTATAAGAAGATGTGCTACTGTTAAAGATGAAAACATCAACTTAATATTTTCGACGAAATGAATCGTCAATTTGTTCAACCTTTTGCTTGCTCTTGAAGTCAACTGATTTAATTTTATGCATTTTCTTGAAGGCTAGTAAAAAACGCGGAGGTCGTCGAGTAAGAAAAATGAAGGAACGATTGGGCATGACGGAATTAAGAAAAAAATCGAATCGCATGAATTTTGGTGAATTAGCTGAAGATGTTATCCAGGAAAATATGGGATTTTCGCTTGGGCAAGCGCTAAGTGGTCCATCTTCTGGAAGCCGCATCAGGAGTGCTACAGTCGATCCGAAAACAAGAGCCAGGTATAGTGATGTTACGCTCTTATTTCATTAACTGTACGTGTTCTCACCAACACGTGTTTTCATCTCTTGAATTCCGTAAGTATGACAATAATGAAGCAATGGATTACACACATGATATAGAATTTTTGATATATTTATGTGAATATTTATATTAGGATGTCACAAAAGCTTCAAAAAACAATGGAACGACAGCGATCAATGGGTGGTGTAACGTCGATCCGTTCACGAGCAGCAGGCACTGCTTCAAGTGTTACTTTCACTCCCGTATTGGGATTAGAGATTGTAAACCCAACAGTTAAACCTGATCATATTGGTTCCTCTTCTACAACTTATTTTTCACCTTCCGCAGCATTTGTGAAAGTTCAGACTCCGATGTTACGGCCCTAAGATGGAAGGATGTGAGAAACTTTCAACATATTTTCACTCTTTCATATTTCAAATGCGAAACTAATAAACTCTTTCCTTACTACGTCCACAAATTTTTATGAAAAGCAACGTAAATGCGGATATAAAGTTATTTCGATTTTTTTTTTCTTTTGATTACAATTCCAATGCAAAAACTAGAATAGACATTCTGGGATTACCGTTTTTATAGATATTGGATTTGATTGATATTGTACAGGCTATTTTGTTGTTTTTTGTTGAATTGAATAAATGTATATGTTTTGTGTTTTTAGTAGCTTAAAATTGTTTTTATCAAGAAAAGTACCTTATGCTGTGACGGATAATTTCATATTTAAATATAAGAAGGAATGTCATTTTTTGCTCTTACATCCGATCATTCCTTTTTTTTCGTTATGGATTAATAAATAAGCGAAATTCAGCGACCTATAATGTAATGTTTGAAATTCCTTAAAAATTCATACCTGGAGCAATGGACGATAATTCTAAATTAACTAGGAATGGTATGATTGTGGAGGATCTAAGTTCCAGAATGGAACCGGTATAAGGAGATCAGACAATTCTTGAACATTAAAGCTTAGTCGTTGCAGTAGTTAATTTTTTGTTGTGGTGATTGTTAGCTCATCTGATTGATATTTAATCATTTTCAAATTTCAAGTAAAAGTTAATTACTTCTCTCCAAATGCTTACAACTTTAGGAGGTGGTAAGGTACGAAGGTGTCAAGGAAGCAAATGTCGTATGTCTGATACAGTACCATCTGCACATTTATCACCAGTACCAATCGTTCATCGTGGAACTGCAATACTAGCTTCTGAAAATACTTTAGTCGATTTGACTGATAGCAAAGGTGTGCGTTCTGATGCTTTAGTTGGTGAGTTCATCAAATTATTTGTCGGGGAACATTACACTTTGTTCGGAGGCCATACCACACCGTCTGATGCTGACCATATGTTAGCAGTTTCAGTCTACTTCAAAAGACGAGAGATTTAATATTTCATGTTTACTTCATGATTATATTCATTTGGAGAACTTACTACGGAACTCCAATCGAATTTACAAATGGCTCACAATTTCGGAAATGCTGCAATTGACATTGAATTGGTTAGTGTTTCTATCTCTACATTTTCGTTTTATGGAGTATACAAAGATTTGATCAGATCATTCATGTTGTTCAGTATTTAATACAGTTATAGCTAAACCTAGTGGATGATTTGAATTATTTTGTTAGAAATGGGTGGTTTCAGATGCCGTTAAATCATCCATTCTGATCTATATTGTGATTTAATCAACTTCAGCAACAATCATTGTGTAATCTTAGTAAGTCGTTTAGCTGGAAAAAGAAATCTCAGCGAAGGAACAGGAAAGACGTGACCAGCAATATACTGATTTAAGTGGAGAAATTGCTGGAACAACTTCCTCAAAATCACGACGTTCTGCTGCTGAACCTGATTTAAATAGCGATTTTGATACATTGAATGAACCAATCTGGGATACTATTGTTAGTTACTGTTGATAATTTCCAAAATTTTCGTGTAAGAATCATTTCCTATTCCTTGTTTCCATAGTTTTTTACCGACTTGTCTATTCTTCATTATGAGAGTGCATTGTAATCAAAAATACGCAATGTACTGGAATTTAAAATATAACTCCTTGAACTACTAAGAATCTTGATTAAATGATTGTTAGGCTATAAAATTTGAGTAGTAATAAAGAGTTACTATTTTTAGAGACGTGATTTGCGTACTGTTGGTGCAAAATTTGGGCAGGTCATGGCGCCCACGAGCGGTCAACAATTACTTCACGACTGGGATCTTTGGGGACCACTTTTCATATGTGTTTTTATCTCATTGTAAGTTATTTCGCTACTGTATTAGCTTACATTATTTCAAGTACTGCTTTTAGTTGGCATCATACTTTATTTTTGATGCACGATTGTTTCTTTTATCTTCGGGAGTGTGCTTCATTGAATGATTGAAACAATCGTCTTTTATTATCATGTCATACTAGTTCTCATGTCTGCCGCACTCGTACCACCGCTATTACTTCCTTCACTTTTTCGTTCCTATACTGAATAGAAAAAGAAGGGATTGAAAATTTTACATTTTCACTCATTCAATATAATTTTATATTAAACATGTAAAGTTTATGTATTTAAGAATGTTGCAAGGAGGCAAAAGTGGCAAAGGTCCTCATTTTACCGAAGTTTTCACGTTAACTTTCTTTGGCTCATGCGTTGTCACTCTGAATACAAAGCTGCTTGGTGGTAACATGTAATTGCTTATTATTCTTTTCAATTGTAAAAGGAAAGAAAGTTCTTATCGTTAAATATCTTTTCCTAAAGGGATCACAGTATAAAATTCTAGCAGCTTTATGCTATACCAATAATTGTTTTCATATAGGTTTCATACTTAAAGATTAAACATTTTGAGAGTATTAATGTTCATTTATGCTATACCAATAATTTTAAACTGTTCAAAAAGTGGTAGCTTCAATGCTCGTTACGATCCCATAAAAAGTTAAATTATTGTAGCGTAACAGACTAAAGGACATCACTGAAACGATTAGCTCGATCAAACTTCCATATTGTTTTAAACACACAAAGTGTTTTTGTGATTAAATTTAATCAAAGTACTGCATGCGGTTACATTTTCGTTTTTATTGAAACATGTTGATCAAAACTAAGTTGTTGATTCTTCCAGATCATTTTTTCAATCGCTTTGTGTGCTTGGTTATTGTTTGCTGCCCCCTGGTTTAGCAGCGGTAATATGCAAATTTATTGAAATAAACCCTGAGCAGACACCATTTCTCTTCACTTTACGTCTTTTGGTCACCACGGCTGGCTTCATCTGGGCAATATATGGTAATTTTACTAGCTGATTTTTCGACCTTAGCTAACACATTCATCAGAAAAAGACATTATTTAAAAAAAGCAGAACTCATAAAATTCAAATAGAACTTTTACCTTTTTTCGAGTCGTGTGGATGGAATAATTGGAGAAATTACAATTCTAAAAAGATTTTCTTTTTTCAGCATCGATGGTGTTCATATCCAATTCACAACCGCCGAAACGGAAGATGCTCGCACTTTATCCTATTTTCTTATTCTATTTTGTTGTCAGTTGGATGATTATTTCACATTCAAGTTTCTAACTTTTTCTTTTTTGTTATTCCAGATTTTGCTATTTACAATTCTGTGATGTAGAATTTCTGGATGTTCAAAACATTTGTTCACATTTTATCCGACTTGTATCGCTGCTTAGCTGATAAAATATCTCTCATGTGAGATCTACATCATATAATTTAGTTCTGCTTGATTTGATTTTTTTCAAAGGTAACATCACTGTCGGCTTATTTATTATCACTGTGATTAATGTGCCAAATAATTTCTTGTTTTTTTCCCTTTGTCGTTTAATGGGGTGTATATTTTGTATATAATTTTTTATACATGTAAAAATTTAGAATAAAGCAAGAAGGGTGTGGAAGGCTGTGATAACTAATATAAAAATTATTTTTTTTCTCGAAGTTGAGAAACTGAAATATCGACTATTCTGTACTGCAAAAACCAATTTTGTTTCATTATTTATTAAATATTTAAATTATTTGCGTATACATATGAGTGATATATTTAGGCTTTTTTCTTTGTATTGCGACATGGCGGACGGGAACTGTGCGATATTTTCAGGCAGATATTTTCAGGATATTAGTTGTTTCTGTTTAGTTGCAATCTAAAGCATTTGTTTTACTCTTTTCATCTTTCTTGAAAATATTTGTTTATAAATGTATTAAAACATTTGGCTATTTCATTTCACAAACATATTAATCTCATCCAGGTTTCTTCCTAAAATTTTTTCCTCAAAAAAATAGCATATTCAAATTTTATTTCACTCCAAACAAATGGCAAATGTATCTTGCATCATTCGATACGGTTCAAAAGTTAGTATGAAGCTGAGCTGAGCGTAATGTTCCATACTGGTAGACTTTACTCTTGTTCCATTCTCTGAGTTTATTTTCTCTACAATGCTTTTGAATGTTTCCTCATGGTTATGGATCCAGCTTTGAATGATTAAATATTTGTTAGTTTTCTTCAGTATGAGAAAAGAGATCTGTGTTTTTGTAGAAACGGTAAAGAACAGAGATTGAAATTTATTGATTGCGGAAGTGCCTTTTTATTTTCGTTTTGCAACCGTCCCTGTTTTATTTTCCAGTGCCAAAGGACCGATATTTTTAGCTATAATCGGTGAATCATCCTCCAAAAAAGAATGTGAGAATAGGATCGACATTGGTTTAGATTTCAATTTTGCCAATGAACGGATTTTGAATAGGTGATGTTGTCCTGGAAATCTTTTATCTTTCTGTTTTCTAATTCATATTTGTTAAAGATTGTGCATAAAGTATATCGGGACTGATGGGGACGGTTGCCTGGTCATCTAAAAATGAAATCGATGATCAAAGTGATGAAGGTATGCCTTTCTGCTATTGATTATTCTCGTAAAGTTTTTCTAATACAATTTTTGACGGACAGCAGGACTAGAGATTTCTGAGAAATTTTGTAGCACTTCCCATTTCTTCTAAACGGTTTTTTAGCCTCTATTTCAGAAGGTAAAAGTGACATATATGTTCGAGGTGCACTTATTCCTCCTCAAATTCTTGCAGAAATTTTAATCAGAGTTAATAATTCTCGTGATATTGGCTACGTGTGTCCTCTGGTAGGTTGTTTTATCTTTCTCATTCTTCATTTCATCAATTTTGCTTGTTAACATGTTAGCCGAGTTGATAGAAGTCAGTTTTATAACTTCAATAACGGCTAGTAGATCATGCCTACTTTATTAAACTTATCTTGGCCCCCTATCTTGGCCCCTTCTTTTTATATCTGCAGTAAAGTTTCCTATTACTTTTTAACATCATGGAATTCAAAATAGTCGTAAAATAGGAAATTCATCTAAACACATTTAAAAGAACACACAACTTTTTGGTTGTCTAAGTAGTAACATTTGAAATATTTTGTTTTTGTTTTATAATAATTTATAATTATCGTTTTTACTAATCGTATCGGTGATTTTTGTTTTTTGTTAGTTGTGTTTTGTTTTCCTTGGATAATTTTTCTTATCAGTGTATTGGTTTTTTGGTTTTTTATATTATTTGTTTCTGCTTTTGTTTAAAGAGATCAGTATCCTCTTGATAATTGGTCGTCTAAGGTTATAGCTGCCCCTACTCCTGTTAGTTATAGTAGGACTTTAGTTACTGCGGGTTAAGGGAGATTGTTATGTTTATGTTCCTTTGAATTCTGGTGTTTTATTTTTTGTTTTTTGTGTCAATTTTTTATTACGGTTTTTTCTGGTTTTTATGCTTTGATTGAGGAGGAAGTGAAGAAAAATGTGGCATTGAGAACTATGTCTCAAATTGGTTTTTGTTTTTAATTATTGGGAATGATTTGCATCATTTGTCTCATATTCCTATGATTAGTCATTCTTTTTTGTCTATTTTTTGTGTCATTTGATTTTCATTAATTTTAGTTATTAGGACTATAAATTAACTTTAAAATCGCTGCTTTACTCCTTTGTTAAAATATGGTGAGCATTCTGTTTAGACTGTTTAGGTTTGTCATCGATGGTACAGTATTTTATCCGCTCCGGGTTTCTGGATCAATTATATGATATACCGATCACTGGATTTGCCTCCCAGTTTCTTACGAAGTGAACCTTCACTGAATGTCAAGAAAGTTTCTTTAAAGCAGGCTTTCAGAAGAAATTTGATCAGCAATCCTAGTGGCGACGATGGATCTCTTCGAAACTGGGAATTGGGTGAATATGGCGGTGATGGGTAAATTTCAATTTATTGTTTTGAACTTTTGCAAACAAGAAAATAAGAATCTATATTATTCACAGTTAGTTATGACCTGATTTAGATCTCCAGCTCTAGTATGATGATGATTCAAGTGAAAGAGGATGAGCTCAAAAAAGAGGAACAGGATTATGATGAATCGAATAATCTCTTATCATATTACAATTTTTTTAGTTTAGACACGATTAAGATCGAATCATTGCTTTGTGATTGGATTTTGCTTATTGAAATTATAATTTAGATTCGAAGTCGAAAGACCGCCAATGGGTTGCATGTACCCACTGGAAGATATACCCGTTGCATTTGCGACAAGTTTTGGGTGGTGTAGTAAATTTCAAATTATTGATTTATGGAAGGAGGGAATTGAGGTAACTATTTTCTTGTGTGATGTTTCTTTTTTAACATAAATCTCATTTTGAATATTTCTAATAAGTAATTTAATTATCAGCAATATTTAGAATATTTTAGATGCTTTTTTCTTACTTTGAGGTAAGCCGTAAAAAAGGCTTCTGCTGAAGGGTTAGAATAGAGCTCAAGCATTTCAGCTGACTATTAATTCATTCTCCAATGGCCAAAACTTCAATAAATGAACTTCAATAAATGTGGTAAAAAGCTTTTCTCTTAAATATCGCAGTACGGATTTCATTTAGCACGCTTTTTTGGATGAATTTTGTCCACCAATCACCGTTTCGGAGTACTATACTTGTCGTTTCGATTGTACATCAATATATGTATTGGAAGTCCACCTGCTTCCTCATGGATCTATACCTTTGGGATTTAGACCAATGCTGGGAACTATTATCTGTTCTCAGTACCGCCGTCTTGATCGAGAACATAATGTGGATGATGAAACAACTGATACTTCAATAACCCGAGTTCGTATATTGAGAGGTGAATCTTCATGTTAATTTCATTTTTTTTTGTTTTATTAAAAGGTGTATTTAAGGCGCCATGAATTTTTCCAAGACTTGAGGATATGATTCTGCTTGGTAAAGCAAATAACTGTCATTTTCCAATAATATATGATTATGTTGAATAGATGCAAAACATCTAATTTATCATTTGTTTCACATGAACTCTCCAGATATTTCATAATCAGGTGCGCTTCACCTACTGAATACAGCTCGTTGTTGATTTCTTGTAATCATCATGACATTTTTTATTCGATTTTAGAGGTTGAGTGGCAAAAGATTGAACATACATTTTCGAATTATCCTAGTGGCATCCGTTACGTGTTATTTCAACACAGCGGAAAAGATCAACAATTTTGGGCTGGACATTACGGTTCAAAAATGGCTAAAGCTTCCGTTATTGTAAATTATGGTAATGGAGAACGAAGATTTGTACCTTGATGGACAAAATTTCATTGCTTTGATGAAGATTCGGTTTAAATTTTAGATAATTTAAATTTTTTTATATTTACCATATTATATTTATTTTGGTCGTTTATTGATTTGAATTATATTGTACTTACATGGTACTTACATGGCGTGCTCTTAAACATAGTGACTGTCTATGTTATTTAATTTTACTATTTACATTTTCTTTCCATTGATTCACCTCAATTACTTTTGCCAATTCCACATGATGGGAACTATCATAGCGATTATCTAAAAGCTATGCTATTCCTTTCTTTCGTTTTTTTTCCATAAGTTGTATTTGGTAATTAGTTGTGATTTTTCTTTTTGTAATTTCTTTTTAATCGAATTTTCCTTCTCCAAAAAGTAAGCTGTCCAAAGTGATCTGTTCCTGTTCTTCTTAGAAGCGAAATTGGAATTATTTATCTAGAGCGGAACACTGAAAATTATTGTCTAGTCATTCTACTAAAGAACATATTGTTTGATAGTTACAAGAAAAATTGCATATTTTTTTTGTCTGAATACAGTAATGCAACTTTGAAATTTATCACTATTGAAGGTTAAAGAGAAAGCTGAATTGAATCCCATTGTAATTAATAATTCCATTTTGTTTTATTGTCTTCGTTTCATTTTTAATTTATTCATTATTAATTTGCAATTGATTATGCTGTGATTCATGTTTTTTTTTACCGGAAAGTCAGTTCCTGATAATTCTGTCTTTTGTTTCGGTGTATTGTTATTTATTAATGTATTCCCATTAATTTTAGCTAGCATTATATATTTTTTCAAATATCTAGTCTTTTTATTTGCAATACTTTTTGCTAGCAACGATCGTTTATTCAACCTTCATCAAATCTTTCAATATATTCGTATCATTTTGATAGATATTGCAAATAAAGGGAGACGAGGCTTTGAAAAAGATCTTTTTGAAGTTTTCGTCTTTGATGACATAAGTTACTATTGCCTAAATATTTTTTTTGTAAAACGATATATCTATTAGGCTGTCAAACTTTTTTCCTATCCTGTATTTAGAGTTTAAGAGATTTAAACTATAGGTTGACTAGAAAAATGAAGTTCTGTTTGATGGCTTGCAATTCGTTGTTCTTTTTAAATGCATGTTGCTTGAATTTTATCAGTATAAATTGTATTCCTAATTTGATTTATTTTGACTTTACATGGCTTATAATGTAAAATTTTGGAAGTAATAAACTATATTTTTATCTTTGTTTTGAAGAAATTTATACACGATAATTACTGTATTTTTCAGAGCACTTAGTATCCATTTCCTACATCCCAGAATCACTTCTTATCATATTTTTACATTTCCTCGAAATTTTGCTCTTCTTTTGTTAAAACATTTAAAACATCAAAATGAATTGAGAGTAGAAGGAGTTCAATTTTATCGATGATTTTTTGTTGGGAGCGATGATCATCGTGAACTTTGTTATAAGCTAGATTTATGATTGTTTTATGCTTGGTACGCTTATTACTCTTTTGATGAAAACAGTGCTTTTTAGTTCTGAACGAAGTCTAACAAGAAGCTATGAGAATTTCATTTCTCACATTTTGGCGAATATTCAAGGATTTGTTTGTGCAGTAATCTCATCTTGATGAATATTTTTAGGATTGGATCCTATCCTGTTATTTCCAGGATGTTTCAAAGATGATGGAGATCTCAAGACCTTGTGCAAGTGTTAATGCTGCAACTCTATTTGCTACCCATCTTAATGTCCCTTCTTCTAGTGTACTAATGGTATGGTCACGGAATCATCAACAGCTTTTCATTATTGTCGGCAAATGTAATGGTGGTGTTAGTCTTTTTTGGTTTCTTTCGGTATAGATAAATATCACTATTGCTTGGAGAATTTAGGATTGAAAAGATCAACGCAAGATTGAAGATGGAACAGTTCTCTTATGTGGAAGTGCTTAAAGTGCTTAAAACTAGTAATTGTTCTGGAATCATTTGACGATTTTAGCGGTACAATGAACTGGAACAAAATTTTCTTTGATTTGGGTAATGACTAAATGGAACGCAAGGATATCTTTCCAGTTCTTGTTTATTAAGCTCTTCTGCTAGAATATTTTGCTATGGCAGAATAAGAATATGTTTCATGTAATTTCTTGCATAGAAAATCGATGATGATTTTCAACGTTTTAAAATTCTTGTTTGATTATTCTGATGTGATCTTTTTGTTTGTTTCGAATCTGTCCTTGTTTTTATTCTACTCCAATCTTTCCTTGTAAAATGAGCTCTTAATTCATGTTTATATTTTAACTCTGAATTTTAGTTTATTTCAGTTACTGTTCTTTACACCGAACAGGCAATATACGAAATTGGAAAATATCTTTAAAAGTCCTTTGACAACAATTTGTTTCGGGAAACTAAGACAAAGCAGGTCGGTTTATGGAGTGAATTTAGTACAGTTTCTCGAAATTTAGTACAATTTGTTTGCTGAAATCAAAATCTTTTTTTTAATCTTGGCTATTCGAGTAGCGGACTCTTGGCTATGGCCGTATTAAATCAGTAATCATTAAAAGCATCAATTTTAATATTATGGAATAACTTCTCCATCACACTGTACTTCATGTATACCCATACTTCATGTATACCCATACTATCGTCATCGGATATTTTTAGTGATGAAATAGTTGCCATATCAGCAGGTGGTCAGATACGTTCTTTCGATTTCCCACAGACGGATGCTCAGAACGGAGAGTTACACAAACCTCTGCCACTTTTTGAGCAACTCGTTCAGGCCAATATATGTGCGTCATATATTGGTGATATTGATGGTGATGGTTCATCAGAATTGCTGGTTTTGATGACCGATCGATGCGGTCAGTTATTTTTGCTGTATACATTGTCAGACTTGCTTCGTCTTATTTTCCGTGACATTCACACTTTCTTTTTCTTATTTTCCCTTGTCCTATTTTCCGTTTCTTCATTTTATTTTAAAATATCCGAAGGCAAGGTCAATCTGTTTGATTGTGAATAGGATTTTGTTTTCATAGCTCTGATGGAATACCACAAATCTTGAGAGTTAGAATCGTGGTCTTTTTTAAATAGAATTTTAGTAAGAACTTATCGATATGTTGCGAATCATTTGGCACCGTTGTATAAATATGAAGTACCATCGAATGTTTATGGCTTCACCCTTGGTACCACAACTTCTGGCCTGTATTATGCACTCCTGGCAGAACGAAATGAAAATTATGTGGTGAAGATCGATTTTAGCTCAAATAGTTGTGATATTTTGCCACAAACATTGATTTCGAACCCTTCGAATCGTGAGCTTATGGTCCCCAATCATCCGATATATCTGACCTTAGTTGGATCACTTGCCACTCGTCTGCTTCTGATTAATCCAGGTTATTTCACAATCATCTATTTTGCATATAAATAGTAAAATTAGTGTTACATACTTCATAATATTAGAGATGTTAAATCATATGAAAAATTATGAGCAACCTGAATCATTCTCAAACTAGCAACCATCTAGTTATGATGGTTCAACATTCGATTTTTATTCAGTCATGTCCGGTACTGAGCACTCTGTTATTAAAGTATACAGAATACCACTTGAATCATCTGAATATGCATTTGCAATTCAGGATATTTATACTATATTTAAGGCATCCTTTACTCTTCCAGAAAGTGGTACCGAAACAACACTGGAGAATCCAGTAGGCGATTTCATTTGTGCAGCTACTGTTAATCTGCAAAGTATGCATATCGTGATGACACTGGATATTTTCGGTAATTTACTTATTTATGGATGGAGTGATCATACCGTAAGTTCTTGTATAAGGACATTTTTTTGCATGACTTTCATCTTTCCTTTTTTTCAGCATTGGAAGTTAAAAGATTTCACTGTATTTTGTTCTAATTTCTTACCTCCTTAATTATTAATTTTTAGGAAGTATTAAATCGTATAAAGTTGCGATTATTTGAACCATGTATTTTTAATATGAGTTTTTTGATAAATTGCAGACATGTCAAGCGCATCTCATAGCAAAAACGATGGTTCTGCCGGATGCAGATCGTATGACAGCTGTATCAGGCCGGAATGAAAATGAAGTTTTAGTTTGCATATGTACTGTCTGCTTCAAAATTGCTGTTTATCGAATTGATCTCTCATCTGTGCTTAGTTGATTTCAGATCCTATCTAGAAGTTTCTACATAAAAAAATATTGGAAAGAGGATTTAAGAGCAATTAAAAGATGGAAATCAACTTCTGTTTTCTAAATCGACTATTTCGATAGTGTTGCTGAAATCCTGCAAAATTTTTGAAGTTGTACATTTCAAACGAATATTTCAAATTAAAGTCAGCGAAGATAAGATTTTTTCTATAGGTTTCAAATTTCTTTCAATTCATTAGTTCAAATGAATCTAATATTGAATTTTTGACTGGCTATTGAATTTTCTTGATATTTGTTGATATTTATCACACTAACTCTATCTTATATCAGTCATATCGTAGATTGTTATAATTCTTACGACAGCTGTTCTCTATCCCTGCTTCGTAGCAGGAATTCTAGAAGTATTCATTGTTATGAATTTCTTCCTTCTTTGCCTCTCCCATCTACGTCCCATTTTTTTTAAACTACCTATTTCCTTCTACTATTATAGATTATTTGATGTAAGGAAATAAATTTCTTCAACAATTTGTTAAATTTCTAAAAGAAATTCAAATTGTGTCATATTATATTTCTTAAAATGTATTAAATTAAGCGAAGTAAATGAAGAAATATACATTTAGACATGTTTATATTGATTGATCGATTTTTTAATTTTATTCTATTCATCGTGATGATGTCCTTTTTCTTCTCTCTTTAACTTGTTTAAAATTAAAAAAGCATCAGTTGTTAAATCGAATGAGTTAAGCATATCAACTTGGAACTGATTATTATTTCGAATCCTTTTCAAAATGCCGATGACATATTGCATCGAATGATTGGAAAAGATTTCTGATGGATTGCTCGATTTTCCCTCAAAATCATTCATCTTGCAACTTGCAATTTTAAATAAATGTTAAAATTGTTTTTTTTTCTCTTCAATTAAATGCATGATCAAATTAGCTCTTAAGAAAATTTTCAACTTTCAAACATTTCGAATTCTCACAGTTAACCTTTGACCTTCAATTTCAATTTTATCCCAAATTTTTGTCAGTGATTTTTTTTTATCGAAGAAATTTAATCTTAAAACAGAAGGACATCAGTTGTATAAATGCACGGGAAGTGTATGTATGTAACATTAAACCATTAAACTAAGTTTATTAAAAAAATTTCTCCAGCATTCTCCAGGAATATATATTATGCTTTGGAAATGAATGCATCTCTCAACATATCAATCAATCATAACATAAACAAGATTTACTTATATTTTGTGTCAATAGTTGAAATGATGACAACCAGTGGTGTTATTTTACTCCGAAATATTCCTTCCCATTCAAGTTCTTCCTCTCATCAACAAATATACAAATTGTTGCAATTATATGATAGCATATGTAAATTGTTTATTGTTTACGAATGCATTCATTAATTTAGTATAGCAAAAATTTTTGTTTTCGTAATTAGTGGGATATTTTCGGCATTTTCATTTTCACTTCATATTGTTCCCTCGACATATTATTCCCTTCACAATCATCTTCGACAGGAAGTGGAATGTTAGTTTTTTCCGTTTTTTCTGTTAACAAGTTAGCTAATAGCTTCATCGTTTTAGCTATTGTTGAAGTTTAAATGAAAGCACATTAGTTGGAATAAAATTTCTATCACAAAAATTTAGCAATATGTTAAATAAGCGATCTAAGGGATATTTATTTTATAGCCATCTTCCAAATCTTTTGAATTACATCAATTACTGGCTTTTAGATTATTGGCTACTTCCAGTAATAATGTTTTATTTAGTTCAAAGTTCAGCATGTAGGACAGTATTTAATTAAACAATTCGGAAACTTAATATTTTACAATGAATAACATATTCTGTAAGCAACTGTATGTGTATTTGTGTATACACGTGTGTTTATCAACTCTTCCGATAGGAATACGTAAAATAAATATGTTGCAAAAAAAGGACGGAAATGTAAAAAATGATTTTAACGGTGAGTTATTTATCCCAACAGATGATATTTACTAATTAGATATTTGGGTAATTAATTAGATTTTCAATGAAAAAGATAGAATTGTCAATAAAAATTTATTTGAAATTAAAGTTATTCTTTGAAGATACCGACAGTAATTTAATTAATTTGATTTAAATAATTTTGATTGTCATGATATTATCTTTTAATAGGTAACCTATACGCACATGAAATTTTATCCACCAATAATTCTTTGATTTCTTTTAACTATTTGATTTCAGTTTTATCAAAAGAATGTAAACAAATTTGCTAACAAGTTTTCCAAAAATCTTATAGTTAATTAAAATGTTAACCATAATTTATTCATTTCTAATAATAGTTATTCATTAATTTTTATCATTGTTAAAGTGAAAGTGATAAAGATAAGAGTGAAGAGAATCTCTTCAAATAAAAGTTATCTCTCTTCTATATTTTTGGTTTATTATTTTCTCTTCGAATATCTTAACTTCATTTGCTAATTTTAGTCGATTCATATATAATCTTATGATAAGTAAATAATTAAATGCATAAGTTAAATCATATATGGAATAAAAAATAAACCATAATTAGCTATTTTATTGTTCAAATTAATTGTCATAGAAAACAAATCATTCATTTTCCACATTGTTGAAAATATCAGCAGCAATTTACTAATATTCATAAAATATTTATATTGTTAAATCTTGCAGGATATTTAATTTTCTACCTCATATTTTTCATAGTTACTTTTAATTGTAAGCATTTGCAATTAAAAGAAATAGCGGTTAATGCTATTGATCATGCCAGATGATTTCATTATTTCATCCTATTGCTTAAATTTAAATATTTGATAATGAAATGACATTTTTGATCTAAATAATAATCATAGCATAATGATTGTGAAATTAATTGTGAAGAGAAGGAAATTAAATTGGCTTAATTAGTGACGAATAATTTAACAGTGACTGTTATTGTTTAAAATTAGATGTTTTCAAGTATTATTAGAGATAATTCCTGTATTAGTGATATTGAAAATGAATAACAATTAAGTTTGAATATTTTCTACAAACTATTCTTCTATAATAGTTAAAATTGAAATCTTTTCAATAATATCTTTTTGTTTCTTAATTAAATATGTTATAATTAATTTTGAATATTTTCTACAACTTTTTTTTAATTCATTAAATTGTATTGTAGCTGCGTTATATTTCTTTTTCGTAAAAAATTTTACATTTTTTTCTTTCCAAATTTTAAATTATCTTAATTGAAATTTGATTACAGTCATCATTTGATTACATTTGATTAATTTGATTACAATCATTTCAACCTAATATATCAATTAGTAAATTGATAATACCTTAATCGAATCGTTTGATTACAATCATTTCACCAATATATCAATTAGCAAACTGATAATAGCTTAATCGAAACATTTGGTTATAATCATTTCAACGTAATATATCAATTAGCAAATTGATAATACCTTCATCGAAGCATTTGATTACAATCATTTCACCAATTTATCAATTAGCAAAGTGATAAAATATTTGAGGGAAAAATTTTAAAGTTAAAGAACGTTTTATTTATTATTTTCAAATTGCAATGGAAATTAAATATTGGCAAAATAAAGTTGTACTTTCATTCGTTTATTCTTTTTTCAGTAAATATTTGGATTAGAAAAGAAAAAATGGACTCATATTCTTTGCATTAGTAGTAATGGCTGACAACAATTTTGTATCAATTTTCAATATTTCAGCAAAAAATATTTTGAAGCGATTTCTTCGAGCGATGATAGGATAGGATAGGATAGAATAGAATAGAGTATTATAGGACAGGATAGTTATAGGATAGGGGAGTTATAGGATAGGATAGGATAGGATAGGATAGAATAGAGTATTATAGGACAGGATAGTTATGGGATAGGAGAATTATAGGATAGGATAGGATAGGATAGAATAGGATAGGATAGGGTAGTTATAGGACAGGATAGGATAGAAAATCGGGTAGTTACAGAATAGAATAGGATAGGGTAGGATAGAATAGGATAGGATAGAATAGGGTAGGATAGAATAAAATAGGATAGAACAGGGTAGGATAGAATAGGATAGAATAGAATAGGGTAGGATAGAATAAGATAGGATAGAATAGGGTAGGATAGAATAAGATAGGATAGAATAGGATAGGATAGGATAGGATAGGATTGTTGCGCTTAACGTTTGGCTATTTAATTGCATCATACATTTTCTGTTATACTTAAAATTTTTGATGAAAATTTATACAAAAATAGAAATTTGAAAAAGCGAAAAACATTTTCCGTAATTACGACGACAAAAAAAAGGGATGAATAGCATCAAAAAAGAAAATTTGAATTGAAAAATAAATCGAGAAAAGATTGATATGAATTTTAGATGTAAACATATGAAATGGATGAATTACCATCCGTTCAAGAATATAAATATGAAAGATCCTATCCTATCAGGCTGTAGTTCAATCTTTCGGTCTAATACTTTTTTTTGAAGATTATTGAGGGACCTAAAATAAGAAAATTAAATCGCCAATTTTCCCACAAGTTTCGTGCGAACGTTTTGCTTGCAATTTCAGTAAGTTAAAAAAAACGGGGGAAAAAGAAATGAATGTATTTTCTTTCATTTGTGATTTTTCATTTCCATTTCAAACAGCGTAAACATAACATTAATTTGACTTTCTATGCTAGCGGCTGGAGGGAGGGACATTATCATACTTTCCCTAAATTTTCAAAGTATTTTTTTTCAACCAACAAAAATTGGCTACAAATTTTAATTCAATTCAAATTTCTTAATTTTTTTGATATTTATTCACTTATTCAACTGAACTTTTATATTTGAATTATTTTGATCAAAATTTAGTAAAAATAAAATTGATACTAATAAAAAAAATTAAAAAAAAAATTAAAAAAAATTAATACTAATAGTTTTGATATATCAAACTATGCGATTAATATTTTATATTCACATAGTAAAATATGTATCACTGTTAATTTCATATTTTATATTTACATAAATAAATATATCACTGTTAATTTCGTATTTTATATTCACATAAATATGTCACTGATAATTTCGTATTTTATATTCACATAAATATATCACTGATAATTTCGTATTTTATATTCACATAAATATATCACTGTTAATTTCGTATTTTATATTCACATAAATAAATATGTATCATTGTTAGTTTCGTTAATGTGTGAAATAATTTTTTTAAAAACAAAAAAAACTGAAATATAATTTTTCTATTTTATTTTAACATTTTTCATCATCCATTATTATTAATCATTATGAATTATTATCTGAAATTCTAATACGCTATTTTCAATCCTTCATTCACTTAAAATGAATTATATCTTCTTTTTTTATTTTAGTACAAACTTTTTTCTTCAATTTAAATTTCCATTTCAATTAATATATAAATGTGTGATCTTATCATTTTGCCTTTTAATTTAAGTACATATAGTTTGATTTAAATTAAAATGAAAGGATGTAAGTGTAAAAATTTTTCACGTACATTTCATTTTAGTTATGCGTTTTTTATTTGTGAATTCTTTCTTTCTTATATTTTTACTAAATTTAAATTCTATATAAATTAATAATTGTTTGTACTTGAAATTCTATTTGGAGGCAAAAAACAAAGAATTCATAGATTCGCTCAGTTGCGTTTCTGCGACGATTCCTGCAATGATTCCTGCGATGATTTCTGCAATGATTTCTGCAACGATTTCTGCGATGATTTCTTCGCATTTTGTTTTTTTCCTTTTTTTTGAAAAATTTTATTCATTTCTTTAAGGCTATTATTAGCTATAATATAGCTATTATTAGCTATAATAGTCAGAAATTTATGGCTATTATTAACTATAATATATAGTCAGAAGTTTTTTGGCAATCAAAAATTTCTATTCAAATTTAATTTCCTCTAACCTATAATTTTTTTCTTTCTTCACTTATTTTTCTTCATTAAATGTATTCAATAATTTTGTTATTTATATCTTAGAATTCTTATCCTATTTATCTCAATTGTTCTCTTAAGAAATTTTATTCATTTCTCAAATGATCTGATTCTTTTCTTCGAAGTAATATCTCTTTCTTATTTTTCTCACTTCTCAATATCAACATCAATTTATCGTTTCATCATTGAATCAATCAATAGCATCAAAAGTTATTTTTAAATATCCAGCACTTATACATATTACATCAAATATCCTATTGCAGTTATCAGTAATCAATGATCAACAATGGTCAAATATTATTCAATGGATTGTTGTAAAAAAAAGAGCTATGAAAGCATATTTAATATATCATATGAAAATAAATTTTATTTCTCCAAATTAATTAATTAATTTATAGAAATATACAAAGTAAAAAAAAAAGGATAATTATTATCGATATTTATACACACATATTTGATCATTGGCCTTCTTCTAATGATTGAAATTACAACATTATAAATTATCTCTTTCGAAAGCACAATTCTACGACAATAATTTATTTCAACAATTCTATTTGATTCATTGCAATAAGAGTTGCATCATATTTTCAATTAACTCTAACTTCCTTTCAACTGTACACAAAAAGCTGATGATTGATTACTTTTACGTTATCAATTATTCCTACCACATGATAACATAAGTTGTTTTGATCTGATTCCATTAGCGAAAATGAATCCATTCATTATTTTGAATCCTGCAATTATATCAAAAATGAGATTGAATCGTATTTTTCATTCTTCTCACATTTTCAAATCTATCAATACTTTTCAATTTCACACTCTAACATGAATTGCATTTTTTTCTCGTTATCACATTAGTCTTTGATACTTTTCTGCATCTGATAAATGTAGTGATAATGCAGATAAATTTTATTAAAGCTTATCTGAAAAGAATTGAATGAAGAAATATCAGTTGTAAATTTGGTTTACTTCAATTTCTTCAATGGCATTGATTATATCTATTCATTTATTGTTTTTAAAAATTGAAACCTCTTTTTAAAATTGAAGCATTTAAGCCTTTGTTTTTTTTGCTATAATCAATAAGCGATCAAATTTCCTACAACAAAGTTCTAACATTCTAAGCTATTACCGTATATTTTTAAATAGTAAAATTTATTTACATCTGATTACTTTCATTTTTTTTTTAAGGTGAATTTTATGATTTTTATTCGTGATACAGCGGATTCATATGAGAAATATCGGTGTAGGTGGTGAATGAATTATCCGTATACTCTGATTTTTTTACTGAAAACCACTGCTCTACTTATCATTCAAATCTTCCAGGCAGCTGAGACTACCGAACTTTCAGGTTTGTTTCGTAAATTTTTTGAGCATTCTTTTCTTACGACGCTACTGCTAGTACCATCTTATGTCGCATTAATGTGACATTATAAAAGGATCTATAATGATCTTTTTCTCGTTAGCATTTTAATCAAATTAAACCAATTCGATCGGAATGATACGATGTATATTATACGATCATTATAACAAAAAAAAGTTATCGGATTAAATATTTAAAACAATTGATAATTCAAGTTTCATTTATCAATTCGAAACTTTTACCAATAAAATAATTGCTCTTTTATTACAAGGAAATGTACTTATTAAATATTCAGGCTGTTTTCTTACCAAGACAATGAGAGTTAAAAGATTGCATTTTCTTTCTCTTAAATTCAATTTCTATTCCTTTCTGTTTTGATATTATAAATATTTGAGATAATAAATTATAGCTACGGTAATAATAAGCCTTCAATAGCTGTCACTAAAAATATTAATATAAGAAAGATTGTCTCACACTTATTTCAACAATAAAAAGGAGAATGATGAAATAAGAAATGAGTCTTTATAACTTTTTGTAAGATTTTGTTTTTCTTCTTTTTTCAATTATTATTTTTATTTGATTATTTACTTATTTATATGTTTATATGTTTTATCGATTGATTTTATTATGCTATAAAATATAATAAATTTTAGGTTGTGAGAAGTGTGATTTACGTTCAACATTTTGTCAAAAAAATAGCAGTACGGGTAAAGTGAATTGTATATGCCGTTCTGGCTTTGTTGCTGATAGTATTGGAAAATGTCGCCATATGCTTGGTAGATATGATTTCATTTAAAATCTTTTCAAATTTTCAAATAAAATTGTCGAAACTGAAAAAAAAATTAATTTCAGGAATTTTGTATATTTTACATCATAATTAGAAAATATATATCTATTATTATTATTTCTTACAGATCATCGCGAATTAAATATGTCAAATAATAAATGTATTTCGGGACAAGATGAAGGAATGGCTGCAAAGTAAGCAAAACTAGACAACTTTTTCATTCTAGTAAATCTGTATTTTATAACATGAAAATTTTGCTTTAAAACAAATCAAATAATTCGCTTACATAATTTGTATGACCTAATTTCTTTGTACAATAATGCATCTTTACTTGCGATATTTTTATCTTCTACTTTTCTTTATGCATGATATAAGTGTCATTTTAATTAGTCGTTAAATTAATCGACATTTAAGATAACATTGCAAATAACTGTAGTAAAATGAGAGTGTTAAGAGATGTTTGAGATTCTCTCAAATTTTCCTCAAGCGAACGAACAGTTAAATTGATGATGATTTTAGGTTTAAATATTTATCAGAAATTTATAGAAAATTTTTTTTATCAGAAATTTATAGAAAATTTATCAGAAATTTATAGAAAATTTATAGAAAATATTTATCAGAAATTTATAGAAATTTATATATCAGAAATTTTTAATATTATAATAACTTTTCAATAAAACGCAATTGCAAGATATATTTCAGAATATTATCGGGAATGCTAAAAAAATACGATCGAAATTTGGTACCAACTGAAGAAGGTGTTGATGTGGATGTTGAAATACTCATTCAACAGGTTCTTTATGAAAAATTAATGTTCCTTGATGCTTGATGAATGATTGGAAGTGAAAGAAATGAAAGCGTAGAAATTATATTTGATTATAAATTTCGAATATTTCCAGCTTGCTTAAATAATAAAATGTCTTATTTTATTTCGATGCTTTTTTAAATTTTTCATCGAAACTTGAAAGTAAAAGAAGAAATTTAACGAAATACTAATTTTAGATATCCGAAATTTCCGAAATACATAGCAGCTCTAAAATGCATATCTTATTGGCGCAAATATGGCGAGATCCTAACCTATCATTTGAAGTAACTTAATTTTTCTTTCTCTCAAATTTATTTCAAAAAATAGGAATTTCATTTCTTAGCATCTTTTTACATTCAATGCTATGTGATGTATCGATCTGATGGGAGTATATTAACTTAAACATTTAATGTAATCGAATGATTTGTTGACCCAACCAATCGATTATGTTGAAAGGAAATGGATGAAATTATTTAAATTGCTTAAAACTGATAAAAATCAATTATCTTTATTATTTTTATTGAGGACGTCCAAGGAGCAGATTGTGTGCAAAATTTAACTTTATCACATCGTATGGTAGAGAAAGTATGGTTGCCCAATGTATGTATCGTAAACAGTAAGGGATCAGTAATTCATGAATCGCCCACACCGAATGTTTTCCTTTCTATTCTTCCAAATGGCACCGTTTGGATAAATTACAGGTTGTGTGGCAAAACTTTTTCATAAGATACAACCTTTCTAATAATATAATCGCTTACCGCAATACAATCGATTATGAGTCTCTCACAAAATTTCTCTAAGTTAGTCGCGCGGTAAAACTATCCATAATGTAAAGAATGATACGAAGTGAAGCTAAAAGTTAATATAGGATTAGATTTCTTAAGCTTGAAAGTATGGGAGAGAAGAACAGTTGAACAGTAAAAAAATGGAAATTTGGCATTATTTCATTTTATTTTAGGATTATGGTGGAAACACCGTGTGAAATGGATTTTTCGATTTTTCCAATGGATCGTGTTGAATGCACAATGGTTTTTGAAAGTTATTCATTTAATATTGGTAAAGTTCGTTTGCACTGGAAGCGCCATGGAATTCCGGTGGAAGTAATCGGGGAAACTAATTTACCGGATTTCCATATGACACATTATATTCATGAAAAAGCAACGTTCCATTATCCAGCGGGTGTTTGGGATCATGTAAGTGATACAATAGAGATATTAATAAGTGTATTGTTAATTAAGCGTAATACTGTGATTTGATATTGTAATGTGACACTTGAATTCACCCTATTCCCAAAAATTATTTTTGAATGCGGCATTCATTTTATGATCTTTACCGTTGCTTGAATACAAATTAGCTTCACGCTATTTTTGGGCATCTTTTGTGAGAATCAGTATTATTGATTTTTGAGATTTTATAAAAGAAAAAGTAGATTATTCTCTCTGAAATTCAATTCTCAGGCTAAAATTTATTGATTGAGATCAATTAGGCCAAAATAAGTGATACCTGATTAAGCTCATCATTCATTTCTTCTCATCAGTATTAAAGTTTATTTGGTGAATGCAATGGTGCAAAAATTTCTGCATGAACCCGAAATTTGCATAATTGCAGCTAAACATAAAGTTATATTTTCGTCGCTCTTATGGTTTCTACTTGTTGCAAATTTATCTTCCAACCTACTGTATGGTACTCATTTCATGGATATCATTTTGGTTGGATCGTCGATCGCTTCCAGCTCGGGTCACCGTTGGCGTTTCGTCAATGATGGCACTTACTTTGCAATATTCCAATGTCGCAAGGACACTTCCAAAGGTCTCATAACTCTTCCTTGATATCATAATATTAAAACCGTAATTAGCCCAGCTCCGTCCGGAAACTTAAAAATGTTAATCTCTTCATAAATTTTGAATTTATGCCATTGGATTGTTTGAAGAATGGAAATGAGAATTTTTATATTTTTCAATCTTGAAAAAAATTAATTTATTTGAAAGTTTGAAGTGACTATGAAGTTTTTTCTATATCAGAAGACTGCTTCAACTTCCTAAAGAATGTATAAAATGAGCCTATCTTCAATCACTATTAGTTTATCTTCCGCATGGCATTCCTTCAAGCATTTAATTTTTTTGAAATTCTTCCAGGTCTCATATGTAAAAGGTTTGGATTTATTCATGTTCGGTTGTGTTGGTTACATATTTTTATCAATTGTTGAATTAGCTATTGTTGGAATGTTGGAGAAACCGACGACGTTAAGGAGTCAGGGAAGTATTGAGAATGATATTATTGATGATACTCCCTCATCCCTGAATGAACCCCGATCAAGTAGACGATTATTCAGGAGAAATCGTCGGAAGAAGGTTCGGTAATATGATAGTTATTTCGCTTCCTCACTGTTAAAATCGTTTTTCTTGAATTTTGAATTTACTATGATTTTTTTACGTCATAATACTGAATTTTGAGAAATATGTCAGTTTTCAACTGCGGGAAGATACAAACAAATAAAAAAATCAAAATGAAAGCTAGTGAATTAATTTATCTAGATTTATACCCATGTAATATTTCCAGTTACCACTTATTGGACGGGTTGATGAAGACTCACGGATGTCTGATTTTCATCTAAGCGACAGTTTATGGATGCCTAATGCAGCAGCATTCGTCGAGAGCAGTGAACCGTCCACATTTCAACATCCGGAAATAATGAAATTAACTGACTACAGTGCGTATTTCGGTTAAGGTTCATTTCGCTTGTAGAAATTCTATATGCTCGACATACATATTATTTTAACAACAGTTTTACTAAATTTACTGCACTTCATTTATCCAAATTTTGTATAAATAACCGGATTCCTTCGACAAGTTCGACTACTTGTAAATTATCATAACGTTTTACTGAAAGTTCTTGAAATTACTTCATGAAATTACTTTGGGAGAATTTTTGAAATTACTTCATCCATGAAATTAATTTTGTTAAATATCTTTAAAAGACTTCTGCATCTTAAATATCTCCACAAATTTCTGAAGAACTCTAAGGAATAGGTGAATACAAAAAGCTTCTGATAACTATAGTACTTTGTAGTTTCGTGATTTCAATTTTAATATTAGTGTAATTAATTTGACATAATGCTCCTGATGGGGTATAACTAGCATAACATCAGCGTATCTGTAAGTGTTAGTGATACTCTTTATATAGTGATAGTAATATTGCTTAGATGGTGATAATACAAGTCGTTGTTTGCCCTGTCCAATCTTTGAAGAAACAAGGAGTCACAGCAAACGTCGCAAAAAAAAACGGAGCAAGGGACGGAAATTTCTGCGACATTGGACCGGTGAAGATATGGACAAGTAAGCATTTTTTTTCTTCCGCAAAATAAATTTGACCAAATTAATTAAACTTTCATGATGAATTTTAACCTTATTTACAACAAATTATTGATATTTTCTATAAATCAGAGATTTTTTATGTAATTTGTAAATTAATGAATCCGAAATTATTAATGGATTTGATAGCTAATCTCACAAAAAAATATTACTAATGCAGTAATATAGTCATATATTGCTCTCTGGCGCTTTTATTTATTTCTGATATCTCAATTTCACAATTTCAGCTTATGTCAGAAGGCTTTTCCGATTTCATTTATACTATTGAATTTGATATATTGGACATATTACACCGCAAAATCGAGTGACTAATTAGCGAGTATTACTTGTCGGGATGTTCAGTCCTGAATAATCCCTCTCTATCTCTTTTATGTCATCCTAAAATCAAAACTGCTTCGGATTTTTTGCATGCAGAAGCCTATGGTTTTATATGGACTACTTACTATGAGGTAGAGTTCAGTCCGGCAATCCTCATGAGAAGCGGAAAGTTTCGTAGGCATTACCGAGGAGGAGGATGGTCGGTTCATCCGATTATAATTATTTTAATTATTTATGTGAACTGCTCACTAATCATATTTATTATGTTATACGTCAATGCTATTAGATGAATATTTAAGAGCAAAAACAAGTTGTTCATACCTTATATGTTCTCGTGTTCGTCTTCTTCCAATTCAGAAAGTCAACCCATACATAATGAAAAATTGATTCATTTCCATTTCTTACTATTACGGCCTTCAAAAATCTGTCAATGTTTGGATGCTTTTCTTCACAATCATTGAAATAAAAATATTTACATAATAGCAATTAATCAACATTAGCATATTTACTTTACTTCTAATACAAACAGATTTGACGAAGTGATGCAAACTGGCTGTGATAAAATATGCAATACTTTGGTCGGTTAATAAATCAATTAGCTTATCGAAAATCGATAAATATTTATCACTATTGAAATTTCATTCATTCTAAAACAAAAAATTGTGTTCCACAGAGATTACTATGACAATAATCATTCCAACGCAAATTGATGGGACATAGAATTGATGGAACATAAAATTCAAATTGGACATTCATTTTAACTATTTCCTTTATATTCGACATTTCGGTTTTAAATTAGACATTCACTTAACATACTTCTTTGTCCGATATTTCGGTTTCAAGTTTTGGATATCCGCTTTGCAAAAATTTGAATGAACTGAAAAATGGAAAACGAAGTATTGTCGGATTCAAACATTATCCCAATGTTTTGAAATGTTCGACGAATATAAATCTTGAAAGAAAAATTCTCATTTCTATCAACTTTACTATCCTTGTCTTATCCATTTCACTACAGTGATAAGATTTCTTTACTTAATAATTTACAATCAAAAACATAACAAGTAGTTGTTTCATCCTGATCTTTTATCACTTCCGTTTCTAATTTGATGAAATATTGCAACAAACGTTTCCAAATTTCCTCATAGATATGCCAACTTATCATTAGATTAATTATTTCATCTACTAAATTCAGAGACGCTACTTCTTACTCATTCAATATCTGTCAACAACAAGAAAAATATGATTTGAACTAAAGTTAGATAGCGTTCTTAAAAAATAACGTTAGCAAATTCTTTTGAACTACTCTCAACTCCTAAGTTCAAAGGTTTAAAGCCTGCTGTTTCCCCATTGAAAAACTATTACTTGTACTGTTAATTTAAATTAATTTAAACTAACGTAACGCATTTTCTGGTATTTCCCCTTTCTAAAGAGGAGCATTTAAACTTCATCAATTCATCAATTGGCTTAAATAATATTCTAATTTCAGCTTATGGACTTGAGAATACGCTTCATAATAGCATTCATCCTCTACTAACATGATATGCTTCAAAACTTCACTATCGATCAGATAATTATTTTAAAAAAATTCGATTATTGTTTTTCCAGATTAACAATGAACATATAATTAATTCATTTAAATACGCAACTGAACAATAAACGAATTGTCCCGGACTAATTATAAATGAATGAATTGCATGTCTTCATTGTGAATTTTTTAAACTTGAAATATGGAATAGAATAGAACAGAGTATTCAGACTGGCTTAAACTCTGACCTAAACCCTTAAATCAGACTGACTTAAACCCTTAACTTCAATTAAGACTTAAACCCTTAATTCTGGAAGTGAGATTTTTTTCATTAATATTTCACAAATGGAAAGTCCTCATTGATCATGGGAAGTCAAATATGGCAAAGATCACATCGTCTCTGCAGAATCTTCTGTAAGCATCAGAAGATGAATCAACTGTTGTACATGATCGATTTGTTGAAATCTTGCAGTAGTGTTAAAATGGTTTATGAAATTGAGCAAATATAAGAGGTGAGATGGTTTTCCTATTATTACGAGTTTTTGTTCATTTAGAACATAATTTTAAGATTAAGCTCCTTTATTTTAATATGAAATCAAAGAATATTTCCTTTCAGAAATAACAACCAATAAATTTTATAAAATCATGACTATTTTAAATTACAAAAATTTATAATGATATAAATGAGGGGAAGAAGAAGCAATCGATTGAAAAGGTAATTAATGCAATAATTAAAATTCTTTGCGTTTATTCTAATATTTGCAGCTCTTTGATTTTGCTATAATTGAGTATAAAAGAGATATGTAGTAAAGTGATACTTTGTGAAATACTCAAAACACCAAATACAGATGGAATTATATTTGATATGATAAATTTAATCTTTGCAGAAATAGCTACTTCAATTTTCAACTTTTTAATACAGTAAATACAATCAATGCATTTCGTTGGAACAAATAATAAAAAGGAATTTTAAAATCTTGTTTGTTAACTTTTCTTCATTGGAAAATTCATTTTAAATAGTCATTTGCATATTTTGAATATCACAAAGCTAACAATTAATCCAACATAAAAAAAGAAAATGTTAATGAAAGTATTAAAGTGAACATTTTTTCCAAATTTTCACGACATCGATACTTTTACGCTTAGAATTTCCTCTCGGTGTGTATAATGTTTCGTCAAACTTTGAAAACACCTAGAAAAAAGAGAAACATACACAGAAATTCAAGCGAAGCTTTATTAGTTGAGACTGTTGAAAACAAGTCAATCGATCAAACCAAGTAGAATTGCAGGCTATAAATATAACTTAACACTTCAAAATATATCATTGTTTTTTGTTAAAAGAGTAAAAAATCTGTTATAGATCATAGGAAAAATTCTAACTCCAGCCTCAATCAAAATGATATATATTTTCAATAAAATTTTCTGATAAACTTAGCGTTACGATAATTGCCAAACGCTACATTTTCTAATGCTGATCATTCATATTTCATTAGTAAATTTTTCAAAAAAGTTTTTAATTTTTGTGCATATATTTCATTCATCATTTTGGATAAAGGATGACCATCAGATTTTGATAGATCACTGCAATGGGCTGCCTAAAAATGTTTAGTCAATTTCATTGAAACAAAGAAATAAAGATCATTTACCTTTTCATGTGTCTAAAATTATAATGTGAAAAATTCATTGCTTTAAGATTTTTCAGTTTGGTCATCCCCCCTTTCATTAGTAGAACTACAATCCGATTCGCTACTACCAATAACGAAACACGAAGATGAACCTCTTGGAACCTAAATTTAGCCAAGATTTGAAAATTTTCATCATTGAAGTTTGATAAACATGCGGAACCCAATAAATTAAAATTTGAAGATTCAATTTTTATGAATTACCCGTGTTGGAGCAATGGCAGACATTTGCTGAATAAATATAGTATTTTCTAGCCAAGATGGCATGTTAGAAAGCAAACGACAGCTGGAAATACGATCAAGCAAGTATTTAATTTCACTGCCTGGAAATAATCTCATTGACAAGACTTTTCAATTCGATATCATAAAAAGCATAAAAACGAAATAGAAATGAAAGCCAAAAATTTTTCGCATTTAAATTTGCTCTATTTATTTATCTAGAACGATTTGTCTTCTCTATAAGTAAAAGAGGATGCTAACTTCATGATTCTTACCTGTATTATGATCAATAATACGAATAGGTGAATCGTTTACGATTCTCATCCCTTGTTCCACGGAAATTTGTAGTTTCTTATAGCGAGCTTCTTCCTTCTCATTGGAATTTATCGTCGGGTTAATTATTTCATTTAGCGAATTTAAAAGTGTGAGTTCTTGTCCGTTTAATTTCTGTTAGCAAAGTTTTGTGGTTAAAAGTTGCAACGAAGAGAGAATTAAACTTTGCTATGTCTTTTAAAATATATCTTTTAAAAACACTTTCTGTCCCGCTTTGCTCTTCGTGATTTTAAACAAGTAGAATGATTCGAACTCACAATGGCACCATTTGTTCCAGCTCTCAATGACGAAGTAATCTCGGGAACTTGTGTGTTAGCAATAATTTGTTTGTATTGGAGTAAAATGGCCACTTGTTCTATAAATTGCATCCGTTTTTTCTATAAAAATTAGCAGAATTTTCACCAAATTATTTTCCCTCACTGTTAATTTCATTTTATCATTTATATTTTTCTATATAATATCAACAGAGTATGGGATATTACCCATTTCTAAGTTTATTTAAAAGAAATATTAGTGGAAAATGATAAAATAATAATGTTATTTCAGTCAGAGTCACAGTGGCATAATTTAATTCGATAATCTCATCATGTTTTATTTCGATAATTTAATTCGATAATCTCATCCCAAACAAACAATGTTTTTATTGAGAAAAAAATTTTCACCTGTCTTTCCTCAACCCAAGCTTGTTTTCTATCCTGCATTTCGGACAGATACACTTCCAATATACCATTTAAGGAACCAACTTCACTCTTTGCCAACCTTATTGCCTAATTAGAATTCAATCATTGCTTCAATGATGTCATTAAAACAAAAATTGAAAAACGATCAGTTGCGAAAAAGCATACCTTCTGGTTTTGGCAAATACTACTTTCAATATTCATATTTATTTGTTCAGTTTCTAATTTCCCCTGAAAAAACGGTAGAAACGGAAGCTATCTAAGAAGAATAAAATTCTTCCGCTACATTTATCCGTAACTAATTAATCACTCAATCACTCGTATGCTGCATCAATCTTCCATACTTTAGCTTAAACCAAAGAAAACTGGAAATGTTAAATCTTATGAAATAAGGAATTTACAAAATTTCTCCTAATCAACATATTACTAATAAGAAATATTACAGTATTCAAATAAACTTTGATGGAACTAACGATTTGTTCCTTTAAATAATCGATTTGTTTAGAGAGAACCTCTTTGATAACATCAGTTTCCGGATTCCATTTGCAAAAAAAGTCATTTTCGTCTTCCTCATCCATCTATTTCTATTTTTTGTTTATCGGTGCAATTATCTATATTTTGAATATTGATTAGATATTGCAAATTTTTTTCGAGAAGGCAATTCGATAGTTACCATTAAATATGTCGCACCTCACATATGGTTGTGTCATCTTATTCTATCTCCAGATAAAGTTCACAGAGTCAAAAGTACAAACTTAGTTCTTTTGGATTATCCTAACTTTTTTGAAGCTTTAAAAAACCTAATGAGAACTGAGCAAAAAATATGAAGAAAAAGTTCTATTATCTTGAAACTGCTTGACGACTAATTATTATTAACGGTGATGAAATCTTCTTTGTTAGTCAGAATTAACCTATAATAGCATAAAAATAGGGTGAATAATGGAAGATGAACCGATAAATAAATGATAATCAAACTTGTAATAGTTTTAGTTATGGATTTGATCTTTGACCAATTGATCATGATCAATATCCAGACTGTGTTTGTCACCATGAAGATGTCTGATTATTCAAATATCTTCGTGCAATCTTTGTTAATCATAACTTTTATTGGTTTTGCTAACTTTGAAATTTTTTGTTGATTTGGAAAATCAACTTCGGCACAAATAAAGCTGAAGATTAAACAAAGAATAAACTTCATAACTGAAGGAGTATGATTATCACCATAACAACTGATATGCAAATTCCACTCAAATTTAAATCTTCATTCATGAGATATCATTTTCATCTTTAAATGCGCAATTTGGCTATATGATAATATAATTAATTTAATTAAGTGATTGTAATTACAGTAAAAAGAAAAGTTGTAAATCGTTTAAATCTATCTATCGAATGGATTCATTAAATAAATGCACCGAATAAAAAGAATGTAAGAATTGACTTCTTCAAAATGTACAATTTTACCGCCAATCATCATAAAACTTCGCCGCAAACTTCGATCATGATATTCATACGCTCCCCTTCCTACTGTTGTGATATTCTTATCATACCTACGAATGTACTCGCTTCTCACCAATCCTGTAATTTCTTCTATTCGGCATTTAATTAGTCTCAATATAAATATTATTGCTTATTTAAAAGCTTAATTAAGTAAATTAATATATGAAATGTGAAAAGTTTTGAAAAAAATGAAGAAGTAATTAAGGTGCGAAAATTTGAAAATTAGTTTAACTAATTTACAAAGTATTACATATAATTTTTAATTTTCAAAAATAGTAACAGTTTAATGAGGAAAAGATCAAAGAAAAGCGCACTAATACACATCGTTGTAATAATAAGGCTAACAATGAAATACAAGAGCGTTGCTGGTAGAAAGTCCGCATTTCGAGGTACGATATTTCCAAAACTTATAATCTTCTTTCTCGAATGCTTTATGAATTTCTAACACTGAATTAATCTCTTGGAATTACACTGCGAGTAATTTTTTTTCAGCTTTCGATCATTGGTCAAATAGCTAATTATATATCCATTCCATTTACAAATATTATTTGTATTTTAAAATCATAATTAAATAGAATTTGCAGTATAAGAGAATAGTTACATGACAAATCAATAGTTGATTCCAAAGACGTCAAACTATAAAATCAAGTTTCTCTCTAATACATAAAAAGGTCAGCGCAATGATAAGCTAGCAGCGTTAGATAGACAAGTTCCATGAATATTACATCGGTAAGTTCCATGATTCTAACGAAATATCATACTGAATTCAGAATCACCATAAGTGCGCAACTATACCTATTAACACTAGTATTCCAGAGATAAATCGATTCTCGAAATTAGAATTGATAGGCATACAATAACAGCTTAATCTTCATGGTGATGAACAAGTCTTAAAGAAAATATCTTTACTTTTTACATGCAGCTTTTGAAAACTTTTAAAATTTCACATTTCAATTTAAGTGCTTTTAAAATGACAATGTAGTTTTTAAATAGCATCACTTTTGGATCAATTACAATTTTTATTTTTAAAAACCTCTTCAAATCTTATATTTCATTATATTTGAATAATGGGTAAGTTGCACAAAATTACAAACTATACGTTCTGATACGTTTATAATAAAGATGCATAATATTGAAATAAGTATTATTCATGCGAATGAAATCGCAATTAAATTATAAATTTTTAATTATTTTAAAAGAGAGTTTAATTTATCTGTGATCAAATCAATAATCGTAACGTTAGTTATTTATAAATACAAAAGAAACTCATATTATATTTGCATATTTTATGAATTTCGTAAAGGAAAAAATTGATTTGTCAATTTTATATCTCGTAATTTATCTTAAGATGAGTCATTATTAGACTTTCGAGAGAATGGTTCTGAACGAAGTTCATATTTCGTATCAGCAAGCCATGAAGATGTGATAACTTCATGATATGGCCGTCGTCTTAGTGGTTCCGGATGTACCATAGAATAGATGAGTTCTTTCACTTCAACACTCAATGAACGACGACGTGGAAATGTAATCCTGCATATTATGATTTACGTTAGAAATTATGCAAAGAAAATAAAAGCAAAAGGATGATGCTATCTGATAATGATAATATGATGCTATCTGATAATGATAACTCACTGATAATGATAACTTGAGAAGAAATGAAATATTCGAATTATTTGCAAAAGTTATAAATCATAGAGCATTTAAAAGCTTAATTACCGATGTTGCAATTGCTTTTTGAGCATTTTATTGATATTTCGATCATCATATGGCATAAATCCAGTCACCATCACATATAATAGTATACCTGTACTCCAAATATCTGCCAGGAAACCGTTATATGGATATGATCTAAATATATGATTTTCATTTTTGATATGAACCGGAAGAAAGTTTTTGAAAACAATTATTTAATATAAGTCCAAATTTTTTATCTCTTACATAAAATATCACAAGAATGTTTGAATTCAGAAAAGCCAATTTATCGTAGCTGCTATTACCGCAGTAGTTCAGGTGCAACATAAGCTCGAGATCCACAAAATGTATGCGACACTTCATCAGCTTTCATAAATCGAGCAAATCCAAAATCGCCAAGTTTAACATTATCACAACTATCCAGCAATACATTTTCACATTTTATATCACGATGTGCTATATTGATTGATTTCAGATACTAAATCATTTTAAAAATTTAATTGAAATTTTGAATAATTAACGAGATATATGATGACAAATTCATTCTTCTGTATATTGAAACTTTGTCAAAGAAACAAATTTACTAAATAAGCGTTAAGAAGATATGAACTTGAGAAGTATTAAAATTTTTCACTTAAATGTTTGCAAGTTTATTTTAACATAAATATTATGCTACCAATAATTAAAGTAATTATTACCAATAATAATTACCAATAATTAAAGTATAAGAGAGCAATTAAGTTTAACAAAAAAGTTTCTTGTGATTCTCTTGCAATCTGTTATTGTTACTTATTACTTTTATAATCTGTTACTCTTATACATTTATTTTATGAAGTCTAAGTTTAATCGTTAATTCGAACCTTTTTGGTTTAATTTGTAATCTAAGCAAAAAATCAAACTTATAATAATTTCTCATCCTTTGATTAACTAATACAGTAAGTACAATAATTCGTTGCATATTAAAATACCGTAAGTGCTTCAATAAGTTGTCGAAAATAGAATCGACTCTCATCTTCCTCAATTCGATCATTTTTCTTGATTTTTTGCAAAAGATCACCGTGCATAGCATATTCTTGAACGAAGCATACAAATGGTTCCTTATTTATGATCTGATATTAAAAGATATAGAATAGAAGTAAATTTTTACGTTGTCGAAATATACCACTTCTTCACCTTTATTTAATTAACCTTCCAAAAATGTTATCATCTTCAGCTTAGTTTTGCTTTTAATTTTATCGCTTACTGGTAAACTCCTAACACTAATTTAATCTTTGTTAATTTAAATCACTAAATATTCATACTGTAATTAATACTCCATTTATTTTAATGCAATAATCTAAACTTCAATTCATATTTTATTACTGCTATTAGCTAAAATTGTTTAAAATATCACTATTATTATTATTATTATTATTACTATTATTATTATTATCGTTATTGTTATTATCATTATTATTAATTATTATTATTATTAATTATTGTTAATATCATAATTATCGTCATGATATAAAAATTCCGTGAAAGAAATTTTATTAATGACTAACTTCAAAATTTTTTATAATATTTGCATGGTTAAGTTGTTGAACAATAATTTTTTCACGTGGTAGAAAACGTATTATAAAGTCAGAATTTGAGCTGTAAAAATTTGGCATATCAATTTAATACCCAATAAATTCAATTCGTTGAAGTATTATTTGTTATAAAATTTATAACACAAAAAATTTAGGCTATTCTTACTTTTTAGAATTTCATTGACGAATGGTTTGTATCACTTTATTTATTAAATTTATTATAACATCAAAATAAAATTATTTTCTGTTTCAATTTCAAAAAAATAGATAAAAATAATATCTAAAAACATTAACAAAAACAATAGCATGGCTCTTAATTCTAAAAAAAACTTAACTAATTAAAAAATTAATTAATCGGCATACCTTGTATCGATAATTTTAAGTGCAACATCCTTTTTCATTTCATTATGCCATGCACATCTAACCGATGAAAATGTTCCCTTACCTAAAAAATACTCGGAATGATACTAATACCACTATATTAGCATTTGTTACCTGTTATAATTTCTAATCATGAAATTTCTATTTTATTTGTATAATTAATTTATTTTACTTTTTGATGTTTCGCAATAAGTTTTTCATAATTATCAATTCTAAAGCCTAAAAAGAAATGATACGAAATATTCATTAATTTTATATTGATATTATTAATACTGTTTATTTTAAGTTATACGTTTGAATTCTTTTTTCCCAATTTATTATTGATTGTTTAAAAATCCATTTTAATTTTAGTCGCATAAGAATTTATAAAATTTATTGCTTAAAAATTAATTTTTTAAATTTTAAGAATTTCCCACATTTTTTAATAATTAAAAAACGTTCTAATTATATTATATCCTTCGGAATTTCACTCATAAAATATATGCAAACCTATAATTTGCTTGTAATAAATTCCTTTTTCTTCTAAGCATTTCAAAATTATCACATTCGGTATGATATTTTCAGAATTATCAGATTCTGATTCTATCGCCATTTCTTATGCATCTCTTTTGTGCAACTTCAATATTTCATCTTTTCATATTGCTTTTTGGTAATTTTTAAAAATTGAGAAAAATAAAGATATAAATTTGAAATTATAATATATTCTCAAGATGGTAGCAATTATTATATCTCTTCTAAAAACTATTATTTCATTTTAATGGAATTAATTGTCAACCGTTAGTGTAACAACAGAGGATTCGAACTAACAACCTTTCAAACAGATGTAAAATTATTAAAATGATTCGCTGTCAAATTCTTATCCCATTTTTATTCTTATTTAATCATTGTTAAAACGAATTGTGAATATAACTTTGTAAGTAGGTAAGAAATATTACTTAAAAAATTTTAAACTCTTAAGAAATAGCATTTGCGTGCTTCAGATCAAATCCATTCAAGAAAAGATTCCGAATAAGGAAGCGTTAGATTTATCATCCTGAAATCTAATGGTACTTCAGAATTTCAAAGATATTTTCCTGAAACCTAATAGTACTTCAGAATTTTAAAGATAAGTAATAAATTACTTTTTGTATCATTCGAAGGACTTATAAAATTCTTATTAGCAAAAGTTACAACCTATTTAATCTGGAAATAATTTGTTATTCAATCATCAAACTAAAATTATAGATTACATACTAAGAATTGATGAGAGATTTCTCATAATTATTAATCTCTCATAGAATTATCCAATTTACACAATGCCATTAGAAGTTGTTCAATTCATATTGGTTACCCTTGACAACGAATGTTTTCAGTCATCTTGGCCCAGTCCTACTTGCTAACCTTAGTATTTGATGTTAAGTCTTCGATCAGAATTTACCTATGGAATATCTCATCATATTGTTCCTGGATGTGCACGATTTGGTATAATCGATGATACAGGACAATTACAACTTATCGTTGCGACAACAACAAATAAGGTTGACGAAGTTTATTTGCAGAGAAATTAGATCGATTAATTATTACTTTCTATATTAAACAACAAAATAGAATTTTGGTATTTTATATGAAAATTCTTCTTCACATATATAATATCAATTTCACCAATAATTTCATATTTAAAAATAAAATTTGAAAAATATTTCATGTTAGAATTCCAGGTTTTAAATATTTCCTTATTTCAGGTTATAATTCATGACAATGAAATAGTCCTTAATATAAATGAAAAAATTCGAGCATTGGAAGTAACAACGTTAGGTGAGAAATATGATGTGATTATTGTTGGTACAGTGTGTGGTATATTAATTTATGATGCTTACAATAATACAACGTTGATACAACGTGAGCTTATTGATGGTGTCAATTGCATACAGGTATTAATTGATTTAGGTATTTTTAAACGACAGGTAAATCAGAATATGAAATGTTTCTTAAAGTAAAATAAATGTATATATGATTGAACTAACATTTTTCAACTTAAAACCTTATACACTGATAAGTTTTCTTAATTACAACATTGATATACTTCTCAATCTAAATTCTTTATTTCTTCATTGGCTTTATAAAATGAAAAGATCTAAATATAATTTCAGGTTGGGAAGTTTAATATTCATGATAAACTTATCTTTTGTGGTGGTAATTGTGCTATCTGGGGTTTAGATGTGAATGGAAAGGATGCTTTCTGGACTGTAACCGGTGATAACGCCTTATCACTCTGTTTATCGGATATCGATAATGATGGCTCTAATGAGGTGCGAAACTTTTCCGTTGTATTCAAATAATTTCTTTGCCAAATTAGCATTTTCTTTCTTCACAAAACAAATTTTATTCAGGTAGGAGAGGAATAAATTTTTTCCTTGAATTTTGCTAATTATCCAAAGGTGAATGAAGCATGAAAAAACTTTAAAGTTTTAACCGAAAATTATTGTAAGATAAAAGAAAAAAGTTTTTCTATTAATTATTTTAATTACATCGACTTAAAACTTTCTAATTTTTTTAGCTTGTTGTTGGTTTAGAAAGTTTTGATATTCGTATTTTCAAAAATGATTTGCTACTTTATGAAATGACCGAAACGGATGCGGTGACCGGATTATGTGATTTGGGTAATGGTATTTTTGCATATGCTCTGATGAACGGTACATTAGGAGCTTATAATGGGAATACACGTTTATGGAGGATAAAAAGTAAGAGTCAAGCTGTAGCATTGCGACAATTTTCGGATCCTAGAGTTTTGGTATGCGCATGGATTCATGGTAAGGTAAGTAATCAGTTTAATTAGTCAAAAATTTTAAAAGCTTATAGGAAAAGTTTTACAATATCATTGAAAGAGAATGAATACTTTTTTTGAGAAATTAATATAGATGAATAATGTTATGAATTTTGCAGATTGATATGAGAGATCCAGAAACAGGAGAAGTAAAATTAAAAGAATCAATTAGCAATCAAATCGCTACCACTTTTATTACGGGTGATCAATTGGTTGCTGTTTCCACAGATGGAAATGGTTTATTTATTCAATATTTTATGATAATACAGAATGACTTTTAACGTTTTAACGTGACTTCAGATATACAAATATACGTGTAATTCATCTATTTCATCCTACTCATTTTCACAAAAACAATACTTAATTAGCAAGTAAATCACTAAAACTCATAAATTCTCCAAAAAGACTTTATTATCATTGTTTATTTACCTAATATCAAAATCATTTAAATCGTGTTAAATAAACCTTCATCCATTTCAGTTTATGGTTTTATAATTGATAAGAAACAGAATGAAACTAATGATGGACAAAATTTGCTTCATGACCTTAATTTACAAAAATACGACCTACTGGTAAGTGCATGTTTTGAGATTAAAATGTTTCGAATTTTGTGGTAACTTTATTTTCTAAACTCTTCCTTTGACTATTCTAAAAATGACGTAAAAAACGATTGGATTTGGGTGTTACCTCTTGAAAATTTCAATTATGATATCATTTATAATCGTATTACTTTATTATTATTATTATTATTATTATTGTTTTACTATGTTATTTATGTATTAGTTTCGCTTATTATACATATAAATATTATACATATTATACATATGAGCGTTTATTATACATATAAATAGAAATATTAAGTGAAAGATATTAAGCAAATATTTAAAATGTTACTCAGTTATTATTATTAATTATTATTGTCATTATAATTAATTATTATTATTATAAACAAAAATATTACTTATTATTATTATGTTTTAATATCTTTTCTTCGCTTTGAAACAATAATTTTTATTTTTGGAATAAATAGTAAATTAAAAAGAAATTTCTTCTCAAAGAATATCAGATAAGTTAATTTGAAATATCATTTCTTACTTTTAAAACTCTTCCATTTTAAGGCAGAATTGCAAAATTACGAACAATGTAAAAATAATGAAAAAACAAATGAGAATGAAGGAAATGAAAGAATCATTCCGGTATGTTTCATAATTCAGGCATGAGAATATCAGTCTTTTCCGTATAATTAATTCCCTTCTCTATATCAATTATAATTCTTATGCAATAGCTTACAACTGTAATTAGCTTTATTAGCCGCTTTCCGTTCGCTTTGCATATTTATATTCAAGATTGTATTATTTATCGGCACGTACTAACTCTTTCTTTCTTTGTCAATTTGATAAATTTCAATTAAAAATGATACATGTGAAATAGCAACAGATATTTCATCAAATATTTATTGAAATTTATCAGTGTTAAATTCTAATTTTTAGTTTTCATTCATTTGCCAGAAATATAATCAACGATAACGAGTATTGATTTCCGATTTATAATTAATTTGAACTTTCTAAATCATTTCAGGCTAATACCACTTTAGAAACTTCTTTAACATTAAATGATCAATCGAAGGTACCAGCCGTTGAATTAAAATTAATCGTCTCAAATGATGCTATCATCCGAGCAGTCATCTTATTCGCCGAAGGCATTTTTGATGGTGAATCATCTATTATGTAAGCTTTTATGCCTTTTCATCGCTTATTTAAGGTTTTCGTTTGATCCGGAAAAAAAAACCAATTCCGGATATCCAATAATTTCTGTTACTGTTTTCGTTGATTGAACTGCTCATAACTTTAATTTCATCTAATTACATGAAATATTTGAGAAAAAAGCAAATTTTCAGACATCCGACTGAAAATTATTCTTCCTGCATTTCAATTCAACTTCAACCTATTAAAGATGTACCTGTTGATCTTCATATTAAAGCTTTCGTAGGATATGCCAAAAGGTTGATGAATATTCTTCTTGAATTTATGCGGCTATTTCAGTTAATTTTGTTATTTAAATTAATACAGAAAATTTGAATGAATATTTGGCTTAGAGAAATTTAGCTTCACTCTGTTAATTACTGTTAATTAATGCTCTCAAATTTTTAAGTATTATAAATCTTATAAAGATATTTCAGCGTTTTAAATTTTTTGAGTTAAAAAGCAAAAAATATCATTTTAAACTACAGTATATCATTTTAGCACTCAATTGCACGTATTTGAAATAACACGTAATATTCCACGTTTTGTAATGTATGCATTAAATACCGAAAATGCAATGCAACCGGAAGGAAAAGCTGAGTTTCATATTAACGAACGACCGCCACGTGTAAAATTTTTTAAAATCAATTTTTATTAATGCGAAATGAACTAAATTTTAGTTAGCAGTTTGGATTGATAGCAATAGATATTGATGATAATTAAAATCCTAAATATTTACATTTTGAAATATGTCTTAGATGATTCTCAATTGTCATTAATATAATGTAACTTTCACCTGTAATAATAGTGGCATGCATTGATTATAATTTTTTACTAATTATATTTACATGTGTTTTAGTTAGCAGTTTGGATTAATAGCAACTTTCTGTTAACTGATGAAATTCTATGCAATGATGAATTCAAGCTAACTGTTAATTTTATCAGTTTACGAAACAACGAACCATTAATTGTTGAAATGGATGAAAACGGAAAGGTTATATTATAATCATAAATGATATATTATAATCAGGTTATATTATAATCGTTATATTATAATCATAAAACATTTCTCAATCAATCCTAAGATTAGTTTGGACTCTTATTTTATATTACAAATTTTTGTATTACAATTTAAAGACAGCCATTGAATTTTTATAGGAGAAGAAAAAAAATGAAAGAACAAAGGGTAAATTTAAATATTTAATTAAAACTCTTTTACTAGGTAATAATTCAAAATAACGATATCGAATTAGTTGGTAATATTATTCAATCAATAGCTGAAAGCTTTGGAATTACTGAAATACAAACAACGGCACAATTTCCTCATGAAATTGCTAAACTTAATGATATTACAGAAAAGGTATTTAAATTTATTTATTTCAATTCATAAATTAATGGATATTTCGATAAGATGGAAATTTTTTAATAAATTAATTGAATTGAATGAATACAATTATTTATTTGTATAGTAATTGGATAGTTTGAAACTAAAATTATTCTCTAAAAATATTTGATCAATTGTGATAAGTATTTCTAATATTGATAATTAATAATATTGATTGAAAGTTTTTATAAAAAATAATTGTTAGATTTTAATTTTTAAAATAAACATTGTTTTTTTTTCAAACAGTTACATGAAATGTACATTATGCGTGATCGATTATCTGCAACGATAGCCGAACGATCGAATTCAATCAAAGAAATGCTGGTACGAGCTGAAGATGCCCGAACTATCAATCAATTGTGAATCATCGTATTTTATCGAAGATATTAAAAATGATTATCAAATTTTTCCTTATTTATTTTTTTTCAACTGATTCACTTTCTTGCCATAGTCCGCAATTTTTTGATTTACAAATACAATTAATTTAATAATATGATTGATTTGATTTAAATGAATTTAATATGCTAACGGATAGCAATATTGATTGATTTAATGAAACATCGATTAATTTTAATAATTTATTCAAATTTTGGAAAATTTTTTTCAGGCGATTGATGAGTAAATATTACCAGAAGATGCATACATTGAATCAAGCGATGATAGCTGAACATAAAATACGTTGTAATAATCATGAAGAATTATTGAAACTTCTTCGAAATCTTAATAAAATTATCGAACATGGCTCACGACTTCGAGGTTTTTTAATTAAATTAATTAAACTGTCAGCTTATTATAAAGTAGTAATTTACAGCTTATTTAAAGTAACAATAAAATCATTATCATCTATTATCTTCTTTCAAGGCATATTTTGGTAATTGTGTAAGTTATGAAATAACCAGTTTACAGCTTAAGAATTGTTTAAACTTCCTGAAATCTTAATAAAATTATTGTACAAGGCTTATGACTCATATAATTTTGATATCTTACATATTTCAGTGGGTGAACCAGCTAGTCGATTGATTGCAGCATGTCGAAATGTAATTGTCGAAGAACATTTTGATATGCTTCAAAAAATTATCTTATTTGGTGTATGATAGGGAAAACAAATAATATGATTGATTTTTTAACGTATGTAATTCAGGAAATAGTTTCCGTAAAATGATACATTTGATGTAACGAAATAAATTATGCAAATATATGATTAATTTATTAAATATATGAAGAATAATAGTAATGGCAAAAGCATCGTTATTCATTTTGTTATAATGAAATTAAAGAAACGGATGAGAATCATAATTCTGCCACAAGATCTTCCTTTTCATTTTCATCCATTTCGGTTGCTAAAAATAAATCAATTACTAATGAATGTTATCAAATTTGAATATTAATCAAAAATTAAAATCATATTGATATCATTGAATTTCGGATAGAATTAATAAAATTGATTTTAGGATAGAAGAAAATTTTTAAAATAAGCGATATACCATATTGTCCGCAATCCGGAAGACGACCTATTACCCGTGATTTATCAAATTCCCGACCATATTTATCAACACACCAACAGAAATTCTCATGACACTGCTCTGCCTTATAATATCCTTCTAATGTGCAACGTGGATGGAAAGCATCTGAAATACCTGTACATATTAAACTTTCCTTAACAAAATCCCTAGTAAAATAGGTATACAATAAAAATATTTCTTTTAAAGTATTGAATAATAAAATGAAATATTAAGATTTCAAACTAAATCATTCTTCAAGCCTTAATTGATTGAATGCTTCAACCATTCCTATTTTGCACTATTCACAACACCTTTCATATTCTGATTCATAGTATTGATAATTCTTTCCGGATGCTTTCAACATCTTTCGAACAGTTTTAATTACGGTTCTTCAATGATCTAACAGATGAAATATGAGGACAAACTGATCTATCGAAATAACCTACCCAATAAATGCGGATCTTGTTGATGTTTTGCTGCATGACATGGTGGTTCATGTTTATCATCCGCCCAAGCAAAGCAATCACACCATTCATCCAATGTTATCACATTATCATTGCCCGGTTCCGTGTCTATCAATAACATGCTTATTTATCATTTCCAAAAATTATAATAATCGAAAAAAAGACGATATAAATTAGTGACAGTGTACAATAAATTACAGGGACCTTATAATTAACGAAAATGCTTTTATGCTACGATACTAAAAAAGCATTTTAGGCATTAATCTTTTGCGTCAAAAAACGTGATCGATTATATTCATGAATCATAATGAATGACGTATAAATAAATAACGCAAAATGACGTGGAAAATTTTAAAGCACAAACCACAACGATCAATGTATGCTTTCAAACATTTCTCCTTTGAATCTTCCTCTAATGGAACTAATTCTTTCATGCTCAATTCTCCATCATTGTTACCATCCCATTGCTGGAACATCCATGCCACATCCTTACGACATATCGTCTTATGCTCTATAAACAATTAATTATTTCATTAAATAATTAAGCTATATTTTTATATAATTGATATATCTCGGGAATCTTGAAATAGAATATTATTAAGTTTCTATTGTTGTAATTATGAAAGTTATCATTACTGCAAACATTAAAAATATCAATTCTTTTTTTCTTCAACTTCCTCTGTTATTTATGATCAGTCATTTTAAATTAGCATGAAATTTCATCAAATTTCAAATTAACGTAATTTCTTTTTCTTTTTCCTTCAAATTGATCGATGCACTAAATGGCCGTCTGTTGTTGAAACATGTAGAAAACATGTGTTAATGGATATGGTAATCTTTGCTGTCTCATACAATTTGTCAACGGAGATAATCATCAAAAAACGAAAAAGGAAAAAACTAATTACTGATATTTTCAAGGCTTGCCGATCGTATGACCCGTTTTAATTTGTTCCTTAATTTCTCATCATCCATTTTATCTTTATGATTCTCTTCTTAATTATTATCAAATTTCATTCTTTTCCTCAAACTTAAACTTTATCATTTTTCTTATCAAAATTTTGCTCTCATAATCATATCATTTTTGTAACTGCCAAAAATTTCCTACACTTTTAATTTATATTTGTCCTTTCTTTCTATCACCTAAATTTTAGAATTATTTTTGTTGAATTTTTTTATTCTCTCTCAAATATTTCCAAATAATATTTATTATATGAATTATTTTACTATATTTAAAATAATTTGAAATATTTTTTGGTGAAGAAATTGCTTTCTCGCTAGATTCTTATAAATTTGAATATCGAAAAAAGTTTTATTTGAATATAAGAAATCAATAATTGGTTTTTTAACCTTCTGCTATTATTATTTCTAAATTAATTTCAATTTTAGTATGAATAATAATTATAATATTTCCATCAATACAAATTTGAATATTTTTGACTTTCTTATTTAATAATTTATGCAAATTTTATATCTCTTTCTTACTTCATTTTGTTACATTGATTAAATCAAATTTATATTATTTCCAAAAATAAATCTTTGTTTCATTTTGATCTAAAATTAAGTTGCATAATCCATAATGGAATTTGACCTAATACTAAATAAAACATTGAGGAAAAACCAATTAATCCATCATTTGTTTTAATTAATTTCTCCACCTTAAGTTTATGATAAAAAGAGAAAGCAGAAGGTATGAAGAAGATCAGGAAGGTCAAGGTCGATCTACAATTTGGATTTATTAGAAACAAACTGAATAATAATAGCTCAATTAATCATTAGAATGTTCGAAAAGAAAAGTTTACAATTGAGGAAATCCCAAAATAGTATACTTCTGAATCAGTCAGAAGAACTTCTCTGAAAATTCAATTTTTTATAAGTTAATTTGTTTAATAAAATTTATGATTCACATTAATTCTAATTTAATTGCTATATTCGGAAAATTTAAAATTCACCATCTGTTTCCATCTCATTCATTTCTATTTTCATCTTATCTATCTAATTCTGTTTTACATTCTGTTTCAATTATCGAATTCAATTTCTGAATCCTTTTCTAAAAGAATCTTCTCTATGTTTAATTTCACTTTTTCTCTTCTTTCTTCCTATCAAACTAAAAATATTAAAAGAAAAATTTGGCGCCTAATTTGATAGATTTCAATCAATTAGAAGTTGACAGATTTCAATTAATTCAGTTAGAAGCATATGTATCATTCATTGGCTGATTCATTCATTGTATTTATGGCTGGTTGATAGGCTGTGAAATTAGTTTGAAAACTTTGAGGGTCACTTGAGAAAAGAATTTCAAATTTATGCTATGGTATTAACAGGTGAAGAGAAATCTGTGGGTGTGCCTGTCAATTTGATGAAAATTGAAATTCGTCATCTATCAATAGATTTTCAAAATTGGAGGGATACGAGGGTCCCCCCTCTCTCTCTCTTGTATCATTCGATCTTCCCGCCGAACTTGCTATATCGAAATTTGCTCAAATTTTGCGAACCATAAATTGGCTCGTAAAATTTGAGGAAATTTTTGATATAATTTTAATTTTTGGTATTTCTCTGGAAAAGATCGCGATATATTTTTATTAATTTCATTGGACTAAATAAACATCTCATTCTTCATAATAGTAGCAAGAAATGGAATTTCAATAATTTTCAAATTCGTAATAATTTCTAAATATCATATCTTTTTATGTTTCATACTTTAGACGAATAAGAAAACACATACCATCGAAAAAATATGTAACTGATGAATTTACAACATCGATCGTTGCTGCGCTTTTCAATCTCTTTAATTTTTCGATATATTAAAATAGCATATGAGTAAGTTGATAGCATCTTTGTAGTAGTACTAATATAATTATGTAATATAATTATGTATATGTCAAATCTAATGTCAATCATAGTTTTCTTCTATTAACGTAGTATTTTATCAAGTTGTTCACATTATTATCTTACAAATTAAGCTATCCACTAGAGTTAAAATAAACTTTGTAGAAGAGAAATGATTGAATAAAAGAGGAAATTGAACAGGAAGAAATTCCGGTGATTACAACATGGGCAGGACAACAACACTCCAACAACATACCTTTTCATCGTTGCTCCAAAATCGCTCATAATCCAATTAGTCGGGGTGATACGACACAAACAGATACTCGTTCGCATTATTTATCATCAACATTCAATCATATATCTCTCCGAACATAAAAGCTCCCCCGTGTTTTCTCTTCTCAATCACTCCCACTCAATCCATTTACGTTTCCCAATCCATTTCTTCTATTTTTTAAAACTAATTTATACACTAATTTATGAAATGATTTGAAAGAGTACCATTTCCCAAAATGTTATGTAAACAAATTATAAAAATTCGACCTGTTTTTTTATCAATTTTAAAATGATTAAAAAAAACGATATTTAAGTTACTTAATTAGAATGATTAATTATTTTGCTTGAAAATTTTAAGTAACTATTATTTACTACGATATTATATTATGCTAATGTACGCGTAATAATAGTAATGTCATATTTAATAAAAAAAGAAATTCAAAATTAGCTAATATTTTAATTTTAGGATAAATTCTCTGAGATTTCTCTCAGATAAATTTAAAAAAACAATCGTACATTTTTGATTTCATTTCTTATAAAAAATATTATAAATTATTTTTGAGACATTTTATCATTTCTATTTTAATTAATGAAAAAAACTAAAGAAATCTTTTTATGCTTCGAAATATATTTTCATTTAAATTTCAAGCTGTTCTCAAAAAAAAAAAGGCTGTCAATAATTGAAGGAAGCTGAGAAGAGAAGAGAAGAAGAGAGAGAAATTTGAAATGCAACAGCAAATTGAAGCATTTTTAAAAGCTAACAATGATAAAGAGGAAGAAATACATTTGACACGACAAACTGAAATATTCCTCTATTCGATATGTAATGGTATATTTGCAACGATTGCTTTCCTTATATTCCTTTATTTCGTCTTCAGGTTAGTTCGAATTTAATTTTAAATTAATTTTTTATTTTTTAATATTTATATTATTTGTAGTAAAATAAAAAATAAATGTGTTAAATTAAAAATAAAGTGTATTAATTAGTTTAAGTTAGCAATTAATCAATTATTTATTTGCTTATTAATTTTTATAACTTAATTAATTTATTATAAATCGCAATAATATCTCATTCATTAAATTTTAATTCTTTATTTATTCAAATATTGCAAAAGTAAATTTTGCTTCTTTCATAAAAATTAACCTTAATAAATTAAAATGAAATTGCTAATAATTTCTTATTATTTGCTAACAAAGAATAATTTGAAATTCCAAATTAATTATTATTATTATCGAATTAACAATGTTATTTTGTTAAGAAGAAAATTATCATTAACAATTCTTATCATTGCTAACATCCTTTTTCTTCATAAATGTTTTTAAAACATTTGATTATTACCAAACTTTTCCAACGATTTTTAGCATAGAATGACTAAACAAAAGAGAGAGAGAGAGGGAGAGAGAGAAAGAATGATTTCCGATAATAGAAATCGTTGTAGTATAGCGTTGCGGTTTTTAAAAATTTCAATTTTTTCCCAAACATGAATTTTCTTTGCTTGAAATTAACGATGCCTTACATTATACAAATTTACATGTACATATTTAGTAGTCCTTTGATATGTACCGCTCTGTTATAAGGAAGAATAAAAGGTAGAAGGTCATCATCGTTTGGATTGTTGTAAAATTACGAAAAGGGAAATTGTAAAATCTAGAAGGGGAAAAAGAAGTAAAAAAAAAGGAAGGAAACAATTATCGATCAAATTACCTTTGCCCTTTTTTTTAGTCTTACTAAAATTTACTTAATTTAGGAATAATTAATAAAAATAAATTAAGATTTTAAATATTTGTGATAAATTTATTTATGTTTATTAAGTGAACTTGCTTATTTGATTTTGTAAAAGTTATGTATTATCTACTGACAAATAATATTTCTTCATTAATAATAAAATTTAAAAAAAGCAAACTTCGTTGAATTTCTAAAAACAATAGAATATTTAAATTATTTGAGCATTAATGATCAAATTTTAAAGATCAGATATTGGAAAAATTTATTAGCGAAAATTTTGGTAATGAAATTTTTTTGCTATGACATAATTTAATTTGATAATTTTGAAATGTAGTGAAATGATATAATTTAATTTGATAATTTTGAAATGTAATGAAATGATATAATTTAATCTGATAATTTTGAAATGTAGCGAAATGATATAATTTAATTTGATAATTTTGAAATGTAATGAAATGATATAATTTAATTAATTCATGGTGCTGTTACTTTGAATGTAATCATTTTCCTATTTATCATAACTGCAGAAAAAATAGCAAAAAAGAAATGCCTTATGTTCTAAAGTGATAATTACTAGATTATATCATGAATGCTAAATAACAAGAAATGCTATCATCATAATATCATTTTCGATTATCGTAATCCAAAGTTAAACGTAACACATATTTTAACCAGTATTACTTTATTATCTCTTTATAATTTTATTCTATCTAATATTTTAGTAGAAAAGGTCATGGAGAAATGACCTTTATTAATAAAATTTTAGAGTAAAACTATGAAAACTAGATAACCGAGTAATACTTTTACAATTATTATTATTGAGGAAAGAAGTTTTAAATGTTTTTATATTATTTAATTAATTTTTCTTTCCTTTTATTCTCTCCCGATATTTCCCAAAAGATCAGTTAATTAGCAAAAATAAAAAGACAAAAGATAGTTTAAATATCATATTTTGATTGCCGATAATATTTTCCTGATTGATCAAACCTATTTCCGAGTTATACATTTTGTTAGTATTTAATTTAGGTTTAAATTAAACGGAACTATAACAGCATCAACAAACATATATGCTGTGTTGTTGTTGTTGCATAGCATAATTTAATTGTTTTGGTTAATTCTGATTTTAATTTCTTTCATGATTTATTTT